AATCCTGTAGATCTTCATAGTGTTGATGAAGAGATTTTCCAATATTTAAACGACATTGCACGTATTTCCTTTTCATTAGGATAATTGCGTAATTGTGCTTATACTTTTATTTGGGAATCGACTTGAATGCATGTGAATTAATTGAAAATTTAATAATCGACCACCATAATTATTGGACTAAGACAAATTTGGTGAATAACCAAAAGCTAACTCTCACTTTCAAGTGTACTAGTTGCGCTCTTTGATATTAATGTTTATATATATACACATAGGCAAATTTGATTAAGACAAAATGATTAGGAATGCGTAATCATTAATTATTAATAAAAATTGTAAAAGAAAAAAATCTAAACATATCAACTCGTATTATAAAAAAATATAAACCATACGTGTCATCAAATGTAATATTGAAAGAGTAGTCAAAGAATTACTTGATTTGTTTGTTATTAATATATTTTTTATATATTTAGAAAGAATAATAAATGGTGACAAGTTAATCAATTTAAGTATCTACACAAAGAAGAATTTCACTTGTATAATTCTATTACTAGTGTTAGTTTTGAATTTTTTTAAAACATGCACTCTTTTTCGAAATATAAATTTGTTGTTCAATTTATAAATTAGTAATGGTGTAATCTCTCAATTTCATTTATTTTAATGAAATATTATGTACATGATGAGCAAATGATTATTGGTGTGTTAACCTAATTGATATAATACTCTGTCATGTGATTTTTTATTAAAACAAATTATATAATATATATTAAAATTGGAAGTGGGTTTAAATAATTATTAAATAGTGAATCATAAATTCTAAGTTGAATCATTTAAAAGTTCTTCAATTCTTCCTTATGCATGTGAGTTTTTTTACTACTATATTCTTATTGATTATTCATAATGACTAAGTCGGGTGGATTATTTATCATTTTATTAATTATATTATTAAAGTTATTTTTCACATTTTATTATCATATTTTTATATATTTTACCGACTCATTAACTTAATATTTTTCACAATTTGGCATGTATAACTTTTGTTTTGGTGACATTTTGGCATCTAGAATGACCCAAACGAACCAAGGAGAAGGAGTTTTGTAGAAAAAGTAGATAGAGAATATTTTAAAATAATAATAATAATAATAATAATAATGAACTTTTAACCTTTTAAATTAAAAAAAAAGTATTTTTTTAATGTTAATTGAACTTTTTTTCAAATCTTATGCGTGTTGTAGTGTATTATTAAGGCCTTTGAAAGAAAAGAAGATGGATGGATCTGGTTGCGTGAGGTTCTTATCCACTTCCACACGTGAAAACGCGGCAAATAAACATTGAATGGACACACAAAGTTTTTTCAGTGTGATGTGTTTGGAAAGAAGACAAAATCGAACAATTCTACTATTTAAATATCTATCCATTAAATTTAATAACACAACGTTTCAAATTATAGCTAAATTTAGACAGCCTTTCACTTCCTCACACCCTTTTTTATCCACTACACAACCTTTTGTAGGTAAAGACTATAAAACAATTCTGATAACTACTGAACAAATTATAAATTTTCCATAAAAAAGTCTATACTAAATATGAATAATATAAATATTTTTTTAGTTCAAATTATAACTAAATTTAATTAAAAAATATATTTTTATGATATAAAATTAATCAAATGTGTTTTATTTACACATTTGTCCACTAGTCTCCACCAAGTCCAAAAGTGAGTTTGGGAGATTTCACAAATCCAGGTTTTTATAAAAAAATTATTTTTGTTGCCATGCCACTTGTCATAATTCAGTAGTTGAATGTGACTTCTGATGTAATGCCCATTTTTTTAATAAGTAATTAAGACTTAATTAATAGTTTTAATTTTAAACTAATGTACAAAACAAATTACCTGACCAATCAAATACATAATAAAAATAATTACATTGTTGATTGACAACATATAAAAGGAAATATAAAATTTATTTACATATATTTGTTTTATATATATACATAGAGAGATTAATGTTGCTATTTTACATAAATTATTTAGAGATTGCTTAAAAGAATTAAAGATTAATAACATTTCATTCATAATTAAATGATAATATAAAGTACTTTGTGTAACATAATCCGACTTTTTGTTATTAAAATAAATTTTTTATTAAATGCAAATAAAATTTATTATATTATTTATATACTCATCATAATATTATATATATGAATACTATAATAATGTTGGGGTCAAAATATATAAATTTACAATTATAATTATTCAATCCCATGAAAGTCAAATAGCAAATAATTAATTTGAAAAATAAAAAAAATATGCAGAACTGAATGAATATAAAACATTAAACTTTCTTATTTAGTGTACTATTCAATTTTTTATTTTTATTATACATTAAATTATTTATTTTAATATTACATATATTATTTTGTTTGAACTATCATAAAATTTAAATAAAGATTATAATTATAAATATAAAATAAAAAAATTGGGGATCATTACCTTAATAAACATCCATTCTAATTATATATATATATATATATATATATATATATATATATATAATTTTGTTTAAGAATATGTTATGTTTAATAAACTTTAAAATTTATGAGAATCATAAGTTTTTTATAATCTATCATCGCATTTGTTTTGGTATTTCTTTAAAGAATATATGTACTTAATTTGTTTATCATTTTATATAGATAATATCTTTAATAAAGAAAAAGAAAAGTCAATAAAAATGTTCACACATCAAAAGTAACATATAAAAAATTAAGGATTAGACGAAAAATACGTTTTCTTTATAATTCGAAGAATAAAATCTTGAAATAACGTAAATCAAAATGAAAACTCAAAATTTAAAGGAAAACCAAAAGTTAATATTGTCAAAACTTAATATTTTTGGAAAACTTAAAAATATTTTTTCTATCAAATATAACTTGTCTTACTTTTATTGGCTAAAATTGATAATTAATAATTCTAAATGACATACGCACAAATTCTCATTCGTATGCTGACGTGAAATGGAAGTTAATTCCGTTCAATTTATTTATTATAACCAAGTCCTTAATTATCAAAGTTAATTACTTCCACCAATATTAATATTTGTAGAAAAAAATGACAATATTATATATATATATATATATATATATATATATATATATATATAAATATTATGTAAATTTTTTGCACGAATGACGTCTCTTTTTATTATATGATTCATGGTCAATTTGCATTTTCTCAATCATATTTGATAAGATGAAAACTTCAAACTAAATTGTTGCACAAAAACAAAGAAAATTTTGCTTCTTAGTTATTCATTTTAAGTAACTTTGTCTAATAGATATAATTTGTCATTTACATCAAAGAAAAAAAAAAATCATTTGTCATTTTTTGTATACATTTATTTCGTCATTTTTTTTGGTAGTACGTCAATAATATTCAATTCCTTAATGTTATATTACGCAACTATTTTTGACCAATGCATTTACAAATCTACACGTTATATATGGCCAAATATGTTTGGTTTTATATACAATTTTAATAGCAGAAGAAATTGTACTGACAAAATTTTTTCTTTTAAATATTTTTCCTTAGCCCATAATTAACTAATTAACAACATCTTTAATTTTTTTTTATAGTAAAGTGACTAGTATTTTTTGTTTTTGATTTACTTATATTATAAATTAAATTTCCAACTAAGATATTTATCCGTGTAATTAAGAGACTAAAACAGTAGTTAATGTTATAAAATCTCTGTTTTCAAATAAAATATTTGGAAACTTGCTCCCAATGATGTATTTTTTAACAACACAAATTATAGACCAAAGGTTAATTAGAAAATATTTATTTTTAATTAACTAAGCCATCTTAAATGCAGTAAAATAATCGAGACCGGTATAAAAAATATTAGTTACGATAGATAAATAAATATTGGTTATAATAAAAAATTACTTCCTCAATTTAAAATATATAAAATTATAGATATATATTTTAATATATTACGTTATAAAATATAAAATTATATTAATTATTTTTATTAACTATATTCTATTTTTTAATTATATTTATTATAAAGATAATAAATTATTTAAAAATGTAATTAAAAATATTTAAATAATAAAAATAGTAATAAAATTATTAAAAAAATAAAAAATACTATATATTTTAAAACTTGTAGCTATGAAAACCAGATTAAAATCCTTTTCCGGTATCAAGTAATGTCATAAGAATCTTAACATTTGGCTTAACTAGAATAATTTAAACATATATTCCAACAATTCAATCACAACATCTGAAAAAGAACACAAGCTGACGTAACACTTAATTGATTCTAATAAACTCTCGAAGAATTTATCCTGAGAACAAAATATTAAATTTAAGGATAAAGTGATAAACATCTCTCCCTTCAATTTCAGACAAGACGCAACGGGAAGCAGCAAAGCGCTCATCACAAAAAAGAAAAGGATCAAAGAATAAAAAAAATAAAATTTGATATAATATAATAATAATAATAATAATAATAATAATAGTAATAATAATAATAATAATAGTAATAATAATAATAATTAAATAAGGTGACAAAAATGTCCCATAGCAAACCACGTCACACCACGTGGCGATACCCAAGAGGAGAGAGGCGGTGGTCCCTGTGTAAGTGACTGGGACACCCGGTAACGGGTTAACATTTCCCACGGCATTGTGGAAAGCGACATCAGACGAAACGACGCCGTTGGGGCTCCAACCTTTGTGTATAAATACGTGTACGTTGTTATGTGGAGTACTTAACTCTTCAACTAAGACCCGTTCTACGTGTTGTTCGTTCCCTTTCTCACTGCTTCATCTTCGTTTCTTAAATCATTTCCTTCTTTCTCTATTTGTCTTCTCTTTTTCTCGTTGCATTTTCTTTTTTCCTCTCTTTTTCTTTTCCTCTCAAGTTTGTCTCTCGTCATCGTAGTTCGCTCACATATCATATCATCAAATCATAGCATACCATATATATCATATCACAATGTGTGGCATACTTGCTGTCCTTGGTTGCTCTGATTCATCTCAAGCCAAGAGGGTCCGCGTCCTAGAGCTTTCTCGCAGGCAATGATTCTCTCTTTGTCTTCTTCTTATTCACATATATAATCAAAAAAAGAAACAAGAAAAATTAATCTGTAGTTGCTTTCTTTTCAAATACCCTTTACTTAACTTCGATGTTTGCATTCAAAGTTGTTTGTTTTGTGCTTGTTTTCCTTGCCCAAAAAAGTAATACTTCCCCAACTGAAGGTTTCTATTCTAATATTGAGTTATGATGGGGACTGAAAAAGGGAAAATTCACCATGATGGTAACAGTGTTTTTAGCAACAAATATACTGAAATCAAATCAACTAGCCGTAAAAATGATTACGACACTTGGAAAGAGAGATAAAAGCAGAGAAAACAAAAAGATGGTGCTTATAATTTGTTTCCTTGTTTTAATTTTCATGGTGGTATCTTCTAGGGGAAATAAATTGATGGACACGAATCTTTAGTTCATACCTAGGGAGAAGTGTTTGTAATAAGTGATAGGGGTGTGATAATAATAACAAATATTGATGAAGTATACCACGAGTTAAAGTGTATACTTATTATTTTCTACTGTCACGTTCATTCAATATTTTGAAGGAACGACTTAAACATACGTAAGAGTTGAAATCATATTTATTGGGATGATGAAAACCTTTTAGATGTAACAAGTATTTAAGGATAAACACGATTGGACTAGAATAAACAAGTAATCTGTTTATTCCGCTAAACTAGTGGCATGTGGGTCCATATGGCTGTGAAATTATGTGGAGAAACTAACTTAAAATTAAAAGATTCTGATTAAATTTGAAGTTACTTAACTATAAAATTCATAATAAAATATTTAATTTAATTCTTAAATAATTGTTGTTAAAAATTATCTGGAAATGCTCTAACTAGAACAGGTGGAAAAGAAAGTTATGAGAAGGAGTTAATTTGTGATGAAAGTGGTAAAGGAAAATTTCAAGGTCGTGAGTTAATAAAGTGCAGTTTGAACAATAGTTAATAATTTACCATTTGTTGATGTCACAGATTGAAGCACCGTGGTCCTGACTGGAGTGGGATTCACCAATATGGTGATTCCTATTTGGCTCATCAACGGTTAGCCATAGTTGATCCAGCCTCTGGTGATCAACCTCTCTTCAATGAAGACAAAACTGTTGCTGTTACGGTGAGCCTTTATTCAATGATTTAAACTTATACTGTTGTGGTATGGCAAATTGGTAACAGTAATACACAAGAAAACAGACTATGTTTTTACACAGTCACCCAATCACAAACTATTGTTTGTAAAGCCTGTCTCGGGACACAAGGTAAACTTGCTGGTCCCAGGATCGATTTTTAGAATAATGTTTGGCTAGCGGAAGTCCTATCAGGTGTCTACAAACTAGTTCTAGATTGTTAGCTTACTGTGTGAATAATGTTCTTGAACAAAGAAATTGTTTCTGATTGTGTTTGTTGCCTTTAACTATAATTACCTACAAAATCATATCAACAATTCCTTCTGATTAGTTTACACTAATTTACACTTTGACTATTAAACTCATTATACATAACTTGTAATACACAGAACTGGAATGTATCTCGTAGTAATATATAAATTTTGTTATTTTTATTTATTAATCCCACCAATATAACTGCGATAAGTTATGACTCACATTAAATTTCATTCATTGAAAAAACCAGGTGAACGGAGAGATCTACAATCATGAAGAACTCAGGAAACAATTGCCTAATCACACGTTCCGTACAGGAAGTGACTGTGATGTTATTGCTCACCTGGTTAGTCATCTTTATGATAATTTTGCAACAATTCTAACGTGATCATGTATGCATAAAAGCAACAGAAACTTTGGAAACTTTTTGTTTTATTCATTATTTCTTATTCTAAGACTTCATAAAAAATTCCTTACCGTGGTTACTCATGATTGGACTTCATGTTCTTATCAACTGTTTGTTGTTGGCGTTGTTTTAGTATGAAGAGCACGGAGAAAACTTTGTGGACATGCTTGATGGTATATTTTCGTTTGTTCTGTTGGATACCCGTGACAACAGTTTTTTAGTGGCACGGGATGCAATTGGGGTCACTTCCTTATACATTGGTTGGGGTCTAGATGGTAATGTTAAAATATTGGCCCTGCTTTTGAATTGAATTCCTGTGTTCTATTTGAGCTCAAACAACAAATATGAATTGTATAAATAATAATTAGTTTGCATACTTCTGTTCAGGCTCGGTCTGGATTTCATCAGAATTGAAGGGGCTGAATGATGATTGTGAACATTTTGAGTCTTTTCCACCTGGTCACTTGTACTCTAGCAAAGAGAGAGCGTTCCGTAGATGGTACAATCCTCCATGGTTCTCTGAGGCTATTCCTTCAGCCCCTTATGACCCTCTAGCTTTGAGACACGCCTTTGAGAAGGTAAGATTCACAGAAGACTTAACACATCATTGTAATTGAAAGTTTATCCAAAAGCCACCTACTCGGGGAGCTTTAGAAAATCTCTTGTAGAAGTTGTAAAAGTAGCTAGTTACATTCTTATGAACTCCTCTTAGTCTATTTCAATAAACTTCATCAAGAAGTTTATCAAATATGCTTTCAGGTGATAAACTTTTATTAAACAAGTAATTGATTAAGTTGTTTATCCAAACACACCCTTAGCATAGAAACTTTTACTACGGTATAGCTTATGCATTGAACGTATTTGCAGGCTGTGATCAAAAGGTTGATGACTGATGTGCCTTTTGGTGTTTTACTCTCTGGAGGTTTGGACTCTTCATTGGTTGCAGCTGTCACGGCTCGCTACCTGGAAGGCACAAATGCAGCCAAGCAATGGGGAACAAAATTACACTCTTTCTGTGTAGGACTTGAGGTGTGTACCAATTCTTGCAAGTGTAGTAGAATTTTTTAATAAAAGATGGAAACCATGAAGTTTGTCTTAATCTCAAATTATTTGGTACTGAGTAGGGTGCACCAGACCTAAAGGCTGCAAAAGAGGTAGCAGATTACATAGGAACTGTCCACCACGAATTTCACTATACTGTTCAGGTATATCAAATGAGATAGCTTACTGCTCAGAATATGGGGCATTTTGAGTCACAAATCCATAATGAGTAATGCTTTATATATGGTGTATGCAGGATGGCATAGATGCCATTGAAGATGTGATCTACCACATTGAAACATATGACGTGACAACAATTAGAGCAAGCATTCCCATGTTTCTTATGTCTCGAAAGATTAAGTCACTAGGAGTCAAGTGGGTTATCTCTGGAGAAGGATCTGACGAGATCTTCGGAGGGTATTTATATTTCCACAAAGCACCCAACAAAGAAGAGTTTCACGAAGAAACATGCCGCAAGGTCGTAGAGTTATCATAACTTATTGTTAGATTAATTCAAGTGGTTGGACTATTGAAGTAAAAAGGTAAATAGAGATATATTTTCTATTTAATGCAGATTAAAGCACTCCACAAATATGATTGTTTGCGAGCCAATAAATCGACTTTTGCCTGGGGTCTAGAAGCCAGAGTACCATTTTTGGACAAGGAGTTTATCAGAGTTGCCATGAACATTGATCCTGAGTGTAAAATGGTAAGTGTACAGAAAGTTGCAATGCACCATCACTTACAAAAAAATTTACATTTTATTAAGTGGTTTACTACTTAATCTGTTCAGATAAAAAAAGAAGAAGGGAGAATTGAGAAATGGGTACTGAGGAGGGCTTTTGATGACGAAGAGCATCCTTATCTGCCAAAGGTACTCTGATTTGAAGCAATGTTTTACAGCCTCGCAAAATTAATTTGTTTACCTAACATGTAAGAGTTTAATTTCATGCAGCATATTTTATATAGACAGAAAGAACAATTCAGTGATGGAGTTGGCTATGGTTGGATTGATGGCCTTAAAGCTCATGCTGAGAAACATGTAAAACTTGAATGAAACCTTTTCTCTTTTGTTGCAATGCATAACATTTCATCTTGTTAATCAATTATTGGTTCTTTGAAAATTTCCTATAGGTGACTGATAAAATGATGATCAATGCTGCTAACATTTTCCCCTTCAACACCCCAACAACCAAAGAAGCATACTACTATAGAATGATATTTGAGAGGTTCTTCCCTCAGGTAAATTTAATCAACAGCACCCTGATATGAAAAAAATTCATGTTGGCTTAACAAGGGCTGATCCAAATCTGTGTGTTCTTTAATTTGATTCTGTAGAACTCAGCTAGGCTGACTGTTCCTGGAGGACCAAGTGTTGCATGTAGCACAGCAAAAGCTGTTGAGTGGGATGCTGCCTGGTCTAACAACCTTGATCCATCTGGTAGAGCAGCACTTGGAGTGCATGCATCATCTTATGGTAACCAGGTCAAAGCTGTAGAACCAGAGAAGATCATACCCAAGATGGAAGTTTCTCCATTAGGAGTTGCCATATAGAGCTAGCATGAGCCATGGCAAAGGACTAGTTGCCCTAGAACCAACAGATATTATAATACTAGTCATCATAAATGAAAATTTTGCCTGCTGTGTATTTTATCCAGGCAATCTTATATTATAGATAAGGCTCTTTATCTAGCTTTCTTTATTTTGAATTTATGTCACCTGACACTTGTGATGTACTGATTTCAAAGAAAATGTTGTTTACTTGATTTTCTTTTAAAAGTTAATTTTGAATGCAAGCTCCACTATTTCAAAAAAAAGATGGATATTCCTATGACACCATAGAATAATGTGAATGTGATGCCATGTCAAAAGCCATAAAAAAATGAAATTTCAATAGTTTTAATAGAGAAAAGACAGAACAAATTGAGTTGGAAAAGTTTGGAGAATAATTGAGATAAATTGAGAGAATTGGTTTATATTGTTTTTATACCAAAGGATCTTTTTTAAAGAAAATGAAAGATGAGAATAAAATTTAGAACTTAAATCATAAAATGATTTTTCTTTTGAAATTTACTTTTGTTTTTTCTTTCTCTTTATTAGTTTTTAAACTAAATAAGAAGGTAAGATTAAAAATATTTTGTTTTGCTTGAAACAAATTTTTATTAAAAAAAATCTTATATGATATTGATGAGTTGTTTTTTTTTTTTTTATGGTTATTTTATTAAGTAACTTATAAAAATATACAAAATAAAATAAATGAAAAGATAGAATGAATTTTTAAAATTTTATTAAAAAATAATTTAATAAAATAAAAATAACGGTAAAATACTTAAAATAACACAATATTATAAATTAATATTAAAAATGAGGTTATATATAAAATAGTATTAATTTATTGAAAAATTTATTAAAAAGACCTTCTAACTCATGACAAGAGATTTCTATAATGGGCCTTAAAGTTATACGTTGTTAACGTGTTGGTTGAAATACACCTAAGCTATGTTTAAGTTTTAGTTTGCAAAAGTAAATTTGTAACATGTTTAGTTATTCTTAAAAGTAGGTTTATACATTAAATTTGTTAATGAAACTTAGTTTAGTAAAAAAACAAGATCTTAGATGCTTTTACAAACTCAATTGCAACCTTAACTTTAACTCAAATTTAAATGTGTAAACTTTAATTCAAACATATATGGATCCATGAAATCAATTTCCAAAACAAATGCAGAAATGCATATAACTTTTTCTTTTACTTTGGAAATGTATACTAAAATATAATATGCTCACACTAATCTCAAGGGATTGACCAACTGAGGTTTCATAATTGATAGGTTAAATTTGATGATACATCAAAGTTTCTGAATTTGACCTAGACATTATCCCCTCTTCCTAAAGCTTTAAAAATAAATAACAAATTCTTTCATTTCATTAGCATATCTTTACACATGAAAGAGTTGCTGCTGCTGCTGCTATAATGTAACTAACCTTCTCAATAAATGCATTATCACCTACTAATACTCATAACAACAGTGAAGTGGAAGATGTGTTAATTAGTTAGTAAAGGACAAAACTTAGTAGAACAAAGCAGTGTAGAAAAGTTCATTCCAAGTATCTGGCAATCCAGGAAGACACCAGTGGCTACAATCAGCAGAGTAGTCAGGGTTAGCTCTCTGTTGAGGGTTCAAATCACCACTGTAAATGGAGGGATGTGCATCCTTCCTGAATGCTGATAGCATTGTGATGTCAAGAAGAAAAGCAGGGTTGTTCATTTCTCTAATCACCATGTCCACAACTCTCATCTGTTCAGGGTATACACCAGGGTATGCTGTGCCAGTGCTAATAATTGGGGCAGTTTCACCATAACAGTTCTTTGTAGCTAGTCCTGCTGTCACTCCAGAATTCCATTCATTTGGGCTGCATTGCAATGCCAGACTTTTACCAACAGTTTTATAAAGTGAAATTTGTAGAAAAACATGGACTAGGTTAACCAAACCACTAATGAAGATTTTACAATATGTTAAATATGACATTACTTGTGAAACACACAAATCACTCTTTTTTTTTGCAAGGATTGGCTAAATAGAATTATTAATCATCATTTTCTTCTTTTAATTTTTTTAGCTACAAAATTATTCATCAAATTTTATAATGAACTAGTTATAACTCTTAATATGACCAACACATTCAATGTAACTTATCATACATTATGGTTTGTGATTGAATGGATATAAAAAGAACTTCATAATGTTAGTGAACATACTACTATTTCCTAGATAATTATTAAAAATTATTAGCATATTACTTAAAATTACTTATATATAAAATCAAGAATTAAGAATGATTATTATGTTGACTATAAATTAAGTTTAAAGCAATATATATGAAAAAAAGAGTATTTGTTATGAAGTTTAGTATCTGACAAGTTATATTAACAATAAAAAATAGTTATCAAAACTTAAAAGTATGACTTTTTAAGAATCTTAAATGCTTGTGGCATTCGCAATTTACTAAAAAGGCTTTCACAGGAAAAAAAAAAAAGGACAACATATTGGTCCATAGTGATTTAACTTTTTTGGGTCCCAAAAAGTTGTGATTGTTAAGCACAAAATCTGTATTGGGCTCCAGATCTTGATTAATGGACCAAATGTGGCCTTGCCAAGTTAAAATATAATAAAGTCTCTACATTCTTACTTTTTACACCACTTTTTTATTTTAATCGCTGTATGCCACTCCCCTTGTTGCTTTAAAATCTTTGAAAGAGAATTTAGAAATAACTTCTGGAATAAATTTTTTGATAAAAGTTAATACATATGAAACTAAAATTTTAAAAGTTAAGTTCATATCATTATCATATGGCATTTAAAAAAGTGTTGAATGAGAAACTCAAAATGAACAAAACCTATGAAATGGGCCCACAAATAAATAGTAGTTTAAAACAGTTGATGCATGGATTTAGTTTCACCGACAAATACAAATAAAAAATCGAAATTTTCTCATACATGCATCACCATGATTCTGCATGAGGCAAACAACTTTTCTCCTAATTGAATCGGAGTATCGGATTGTGGAAGGCCAATAAAAGTGCCAACTACAATTCATGTGAGCATTAGTGATTACGAAAGCCACAAAAAGGTGACTTTGCACAAATTGTAGTAGAATAGCGTATACGTATAATATAATATAATATAATATAGAAATTAAAGTAAAGTTGAACAACATTAACCAAAGTATCAATGACCAGAATCAAACAACAAACTGCTTTCTTATGTATACTTCTGTTAAGGATGCTGCTCTTCTAAACGCAATAACTCACATTCAGAGGGTAAAATTAACAATTTATGTTGTTGATGAAAAAATCAGTGGTCTAAATTTCATGTACATGAATGTATTAACACATTCATAGTTGATTTTCTCATCGTTTTTTCTTCACTCGTCAAGAGAGGTCAAAATCCATCATTCAAAACATTGGAGAAATTATTGGCTAGCTTACTAACTGACTAGTCACAAAATATGGGGCACCACCAGCCTAAGACAAATGTATCTGCTGGATTGAAAGAGATAGGACAAAGAAGTAACACAAGCATGTGAATTTCAGCTCTAAGATAGGTAACTCTAAAGGGTCGAAAGAGGGGGCTCCTAGTCCCTGCCCTTAACTCATCAAATAGAGGCAAATTAATACGTGTTGGATTTCTATTCCTATTGAACAAAAATAATCATGAAGCCTAGACATATCACACCATGTTATAGTACAATAATGTAAGAGAGAGAAAGGCAGGATCAGAGTCCATACTTGGTATGTGAAGGAGAAACTCCCAGGAAGAATACTTTGGTTCTGCTTCTATCAATATTGTTGTTCACCCAATTAGCCCATGTTCTCATTCCCCTTTCGAAGGCTGCTAAACGATCCATGTCTGGGTAGTATTTGCTTCCTAATTCAATATAATCCCACCTGCACTTAGTATCCCAAACACCAAATTACTTCAAAGTTCACAACATAATTGAAAAAAGAGAGAAAAAAACGTATACAATCAAACAATCAGAAAACATAATCAGGATAACATATATTTGAGGTAATGATGGTAAAAGTTAACAAGTTATTATATAAATTTATGATTAGAAGACTAGTATATACATTATTTACTTGTAAAAGAGAAGAGATATTTATATACCCTTGAAGAGACCCCTGATGCTCCCACCAATGTCCAGAGTTAAAAGAAAGTACATCAGCACTTTTCCATATGTCACCATTCCCATCAACCTCCTCCAGCCTCAAAATTCTCTTCCCTTGGACCACATCAATCTCTACCAAATAAGGAGCCCTGTAAAATGAAATGGTAACACCGTAGTCCTGCACATACCATATCAAAACCCAGTCAGGACTTAGGACCATCTTTTGCAGCTGTAACATGATGCTTTTATAGAAGTCTACTTTATACAAACAAAAAAGTATGAATATAATTTAGTGTTCCAGTTTGCATCAACTAATCCAAATATAATGGCTTAATAGTACATTTGGGCCCTCCTCACAACACCTTTTACAATAGATATTTTGTCCTGTTGAAAATATCTAGAACCTGCTCCCTCTGATTTTGAACGAAGCCTAACAAAAAGGGACAACACAAACTGTTCTGATGCAGGAAAACCACTGTGCTTACTTTCCTTTTCCCTTAACCAAAAATTGGAAAACTTTGCCCAGGAAATAATAGGGGTAATTAACTGACAAAATCATGGCCTAAAACTAAAATCTCAATTAATGGAAAATAAAAATAGTGATAAAATGTCAAGTGGGTAACAAACATTATGATTTCTCAGAAGAAATTAATGTGTTCACACTCACCAAGAATCTGAAGGTTGAGAGCGGTTCCCCTCTGACCAACTGTGTTTGTGTTTGAGGAACTGCAGTATATGTCATGCAAATCAATGACTGCCATTGATTGCGCCCCAGTGAGTCACCCACAAACATCACAGTTTTGCCTCTCATTTGCAACAGAAACTCCTCCCCGTTGAACCTAGCAAGAACAAGCTACAAAACCATCTAGAGGCATACATAGGATACTAAGGTCTTTTTATATAGGCTTCCATTTCTTGGTTTTAAAACTTACGTTCAGAAGCAACTCCACGCTACTCACAATAAATTTCTCATTCAATAGTTATCAAGTTTTTTTAAATAAAAATCCAAAACAAATATTCCAAAAACAAAAACAATTACGAAATATATTATCATTTCTGACATCAACCTTAATAAACTATTTGAACAATCTTTTCTTTTTTTCACATGTATGTTCGTTGGAAGAAAATCCCATCCTAAAATATTAAATCATTCCACTAAACGCAACACCGATTGATGAACAGTCTTATGTATTTACACTTAAAAAACTAAAAGCAGTTTTCGGAAACTAGAAAACAAACTCATCCAAACACCCCATTATTTGAAGAAAACTTAACTGTTATGGAATAAAAAAAAACTTCAAATTATGCACAAGTCTGTGTTTTGAGCTTGGGGGTACCTTGGGAGATCACAGTTGAGGGGTCTCCATCTGTATCTGAGGTAATCAGAATCTGGGCGCCCAAACATTTTGCAGTTGAACTGAGGATCTATGATGGGGCAGTTGGAGGATTGGTAGAGAGGGTATGAGTCATCTTCAACCCAAGTTCCCACAAAGAGTGCACAGTTGGTTTGGTTGGCATGGATCATGGGTCTCTGCTGGTGGAGGGTGTTGCGGTGGTGTCTCAAGCTAAGAAGCAGGGCACAAGAGGTTGTTTGGTGGTGAAGGGAAAGAAGGAAGAGAAGAGCAAACAAGCGCGGTAAGGAAGCAGAGGGAGATTGAAAATGGTGAACTGCCATTGGAGAATCTGTGAAGAGAAAGAGAGAGAAAAAAAGGACAAGGAAAGGGGAGAGGGAAGAAGGGAGCTTGGACTGCTTTGAAAAAAAATGTGAAGTTATAAAGGATGGAGTATTTTAGTTGTCTGTGAATAAATAATGGTGGATGTTTTGTTTGGTTCTGTGTATATGGAAGAGGTAGATTAGAGTTCTCAAAGTGAGGTAAAAAATTTGAACCATTTTAGTGCAAGCATAAGTAATTTTACTTGACTATAAAATAGTCTATTAAATGTAAAATAGTAATATTTAAATAAATTAAATTAAATTCCCTAATGAATCCATTAAGATTTTGTTAAGGATTTGTTTATATAATAAGTATGATTTTTGTTTTCATTGTAAGTATATTAAAACAATTTATGAATAATATATAATATACTGTGGATGAAAACATTAAAATAGAGTGCAAGTATTTTATAACATAATATAATATAAAAAAATAAAATCATATTTCATATATTATATTAATATAAATATAAATTTTTCAAATATTATATTAATATAAATATAAATTATTCCACTACGTTAATAGTTTTACATAATTTTTCATAAATCATAATAGTATATTCAAATTAAATTCTTGAAATAATTAATATAAAGTTAAAAAATCTAATTATATAACATATTATGTTATAATGTTAAATTCCAGTGTATCACGCAATCTTCGATGAGCATCATCAAAATGTCACCTCGAAGCAAAACCTTTTAAATTGCTAGGGTGAGATTTGCGGATGCTTTACCTTTCCGTGGTTGCATTGTCTCGGTGATATGCATCTATTGTGTAAGAATCCAACTTGCATCTCACAATACTTGCCCCGTGAGAGCATATACTCACGGCCCAGAAGGGTTGATTACCCCTTTTTCTAGGAACGAAGAACCTTTTGCGAAGGAACACAATTTTGATCAAAGCATTTGTTCCTTGCTTTTATTAGCCATTTTTCACAAAAACTATACTTTTATGCTCTCCTCATGAGAATTTCAAGTTTCTCCATTATAATCTTTATATCTTTAATCCTCCGTTCAGATATAACTTTTTTATTATCCATGTTTATCCATCTTTGATATAAGAGGTGATATAATAGACCAATTTCAATATAATAATAATAATAATAATAATAATAATAATTAACAGTGATTGTCGATTAGATGTAACTATGGTAATTTTATAGTAGTAAAATAGATACTCGTGCAACTATTTTTATTTTGAAGTTAAAATACAAACTCAAATGATGACAAAAATACAAGGATGTAACACCATGCATCCAGTTGTACAAAATACAGTAGTGCAAGGTTACAGAAATAGAGGTTTTATACAAGGGTCTACTCATTCTCTATATAGACAATCTACTTGTGACATAAGGGTGTGGACAGATGGAGAGTTCATCTGCAAGCCATGATGGCATACTAAATCCCTTGGCATAATTTTCTTATTTTCCTTCGTTTGTAGACAAATAGACCATCGTTCCTGTCAATTTGTTTATCAATAGAGCACACATCACTGGTTGTTTCATTTTGACTGGTTGTTCCATTCTGATTATCCCTAGAACTCCGTTGTTCCACCTAAGAACCAATGACATTAACACTCCTAACAGAAACATGAAACGGTCTTAAAAAGCATGAGAAACATAAAACAATCTTAACAAGCATGACATGACAAAGGAGAAGAAAATACCATAGCAAATGGGTCAATGGCATCTGTAACATGGTGATCATTATTGCTGCCTGCAGAAATACTAAAAAACCAATTATATATATTAGGTTTAACTATGATTCTACCCAAATAGATCACACAATTAACACAGGATGATCTTATAAAAGAAACAACTTTGACAGTGTCTGAAAGTTCGTAATTTCAATAATACTCCAAAAAAGATATTAATCAGTCATACACGATATTTAATGTCATTATAACTTTGTTCATTAGGACCAAACGAATAAAAGTAAGACATACTCTTCCATTCGTTGATCCATCGCCCCTTCTTCGTCAATCTCCTCCACTTCAAAGACTGGGTTAGACTTACTGTGATCAACACATCTCCCAGACTCTGCAAGAGGTGTCATTCAAATTGGGTTAGGTTTACTTGTCTATTCTATAAAACCAGGAAATAAGAAAGATTACAGCTTTTGGCACCTGATGTACCTATTAATAGAAGTGATTCTGAAGATGCAATATTCATCAACAACTTTCGGCACATGATAGCACCCTCAAAATCTAGGAAAGTGTAATCCAAAAACTGAGATCTCTCATAATTAGTCATCTTCGTAAAGCCAAAAGAGTTTATCCATGTCTCTAGCACACTCGGAACTGCTGGCAAAACCAGCCTCTCCACACCTAGTTGCACGAGCTTCTGAAACAAGAAGAAATAAAAAGAGTACATAAACAGTAAGACAACATCACTGAATCATAATAAATCTAATTTCAAAATTTTTAATTAATCACCATATCTTAAAAATATCTTAATGCAATTTTGTGCTAATATAATAAGAAATATCAACAATGTCACACTTTTATACATTTTGTAATTACAGTTCAAAATTAAATTATTATTTTATCTTTTAAATTAATAATATATAACTAAAATTTTGTCCAACATCTAATATTATCAATCCTTCGACATTTGGTAACTGGTAAAATAATATAATTTTCGACGTATTATCGAAGATTAAATAGTTTTCTTTACTAATTTTTTTTTCAAACCCATCACTTAAAAAAAATGATAGTCAAATTGTCTGACATGATGATAATGTAGTATTCATGATAGCATATTATTGATGATGTGACACAATCTTAACTCGGATTAATAAGGAAAAGATCACACAATAAAATTTTACGAAATTGACACGAAAAAAAAGAGTTGAGTATTAAACATTTGTTATTCATTCTTTCAGTAGGATTGGAAACCTTATCTTAGATACTATGATTATGATTGATTCAAAGATGATCTAAACTTATGTCCTCTAAATCAACTACTCAAGTTGTCAGTAACAACTTTTTCTTTTCTTCTAATATTTCTTCTAAATTCCGTTTTTTAGATAAGAAAAAAAATTAAGAAAAAAGTGGGTGTTACCTGATAAAAGATATGAATTAGAAAGAAATGGAAAGATATAAATTAGAAAGAAATGTACGTTGAAATATTCTAAGCATTCTTGACTTGAGTGTACAAATTAATATGTTCGAACTGACTCATTTTAAAACCAAACTGAATCAAACCAAGTATAAAAACAATTAGTTAGACCATTTTTTAAAACCATTAAAAAGGTTTGGTACCATAACCTTTCCTTCTTACTAATTCTTAATCGTGAACCATTTTCTCTATTTATATTTTACCATTTTAAAAGATTATTTACAGAAAAATATTAATATATACATAACTCTCTAATTATCTGTATAGAAAATTTACATACAACTATAATAGTCCAACTATACAGAACTTTCAATTTGCTTTGCACCGAAAAGAAAATTCCTTAAGTTTCAAAATCATTTCAGTAATATATATTATTGAAATACAAAACTGGTCTTTCATTTTTATTTTTATTTTTTATTATATAAATGTTAACAATGATAGATAACGATTAATTTTTTAATATTATTTCATTTTTTTTATTTTAGATATTCAAAAATTTAAAATTTATACATGTCTTTTTCTTTTTGTTATGTTATATATTTAGTGGTGTTTGACACTCATAGAGTTGTGAGTCTTTCATAAGATATAAAAATATAATGTATTATTTATTTGACTTCAAAAAATAATATGTGCAATTATATCCGGCAAGAAAATCTCCAGTAATTAAAATAAAAATCAATAAAAAGCTGATGTGATGATTACCTTCTCAAGCTCATTAATTAAAATGCGACACATCCCATGTCGACGATATTGTAATCTGGTACCAACAAGAGGTATTTCAGCTACTTTCTTCCCATGGACCCTGAAAAATTGACAATAACAAATGAAATATGACCATAACATTAGAACATGCACTCATGCCATCAAACAAAGCGTAACACTTGAGCATTCTATACTCACCTAACAGTTGCCACACTAACCAGTTCTTCATTTCTCTCAAGTAAGACAGTATAGAATCCCTGGAAATTTATTCGATTAAGTTCTGACCTGCTAAGTTACAAAGTATGGATGATGTAAACAAATCTATTAAGTAATTGTTATCGATGTATACAACACAAATGCAACAAGCAACATAAAACATAGTGACCATGTCTTGAAGGATAACAATTTCTGACCATCTGCTGAATATAGCATCTTCCACAAGATCTCTTCCAGTCAAGGATTCCTTTAGGGGCTCAAAACATTCATGCATCAACGAAAGAGCAAGATTGAGTTTGCTGTAACTTTCTGCCAATAAGTCACTTTCAATATTAACAAGATCACAATTGTCTGGATTGATAAACTTGACCAACGTCCAAGTTAGATTGTTAGGCACTGGAATTGGCTCTCCTAATAATTTATGAAGGCCCTTATATATCTGCAAAAAATAGACACCAGAATGTTAAGTAGAATGGTCATGGAAACTCCCATTTTTTCATGAAATCACAAACAAAAAGCTTGAAGATAACACAAATAGGAAGAAGAAAACTTTCATGCATATGATAGTTAAAATTTCCTAAAACAGTGAGAAATAAAGTTGGATTTTATCTACCTTTTCACAATCTATTCCACAGAACCAGTTTCCATTATGTCTTGATGTATCTGAAGCTCCATTTTTCAGGCATCTAACATGATCTACACAAGTTTGACAAAGGAAAAGACCATATTTACATATGCAGACAAATACAAACCAAAGATATTCAGGCATGGATATAAAATGAAGGTAAAAATAGGGAGTAGCTGACATACATTTATGTTCACACTGTATGCAAGGAAGAAAATGTTCAACCTCATCTCCATCCATTTTCCTCTGGCCACAAATCCCGCATCGACAGGATGGACAAAACCAGTCGCCTTCAGGGATATCCTATACAGAAAAAAAAAAATAATACAAGACGGAGTAAAAAACTCAGATCTAATATCAAAGTATGATGTCCTTTAATAAGGAAAAACAAGATAGCATTAAATATAGCATGATTAAGAAGGAAAATGGTTAATCTACCTTCAAACCAAGACACGTCTTGTGGAATGAAGATGGACATTTATCACATAAAACAAGCTCACCACCATAGTGGCAAACTGAACAAATGTAGTCATTCTCAGCTAGAGACATACCACTTAATGATTTTCCACTAGCTTCCCTTGTCCTGTGACTTTGCATCATTTGCATCTGGCAATCCAAGAGTGACTTACCATCTTGCAAAAAGATACTAGCAGAGGGTCTGCAGGTACTACTGCCACTAGCATGGTTTTCAAATGCAGAAAAACTGTATATCGCGAGGCAACAGTTACACTTGATTCCATCGCCAGTTATTTTTCCCTCAGCCAAAGTACGGACTGTACGGTGTCTGCCTTTTGTCTTATAATAAACCTTAGACCTTGGTACGATGATACCGTTGTCTATCAAGAAAGACGGAATATTTAGAGGCTTATGATGTAAATGAGCAGGGCCAGAAACCTTTTGCACCCTCTTATTTGATCTTAGCACCTGTAGAGGTAACCCATTGCTTTGGAACTTAGGTGGTAGGTTGGCCTTCAAATCCCTCTTGCTTTTCTTCTTTTGGTTTGTAGTAGATTTACTACTAGAAGCACCTTCATCCATCGCCTTCCATTCAAGGTCCCAATTAGGAATACTTTCTTCAATACAAAATTTGCATGCTGCATGGAGTGTAGTGAATTTCCGATTTTGAGGAGACATGTATATTATTCCCCTTCTTTTATTAGATGGAGGTGGATAGTCAAATATCCATCCCTCTGCTAACAGATGCTTCTTTGCCTTTACTATCCATTGTTTTTTTTCAGCCCGACTCTTATTGGATATGTACAAGCGATAATACTGCACAACAGCCCGAGGACAATACTCAGGTACATCATCAACTTCATCTTCAACTGGAGAAGATGGCACAGCTAGAGGAAAGATATCTAGATTCTGAATATTTTTAGCTGGATTAGCAGGCACTTCAACTAGAGAAGATGGCACAGCTAGAGGAAGGATATCTAGATTCTGAATATTTTCAGCTGGATTATCAGGCACATCTGAAATATGACAATCAACTGTAGGATGCATTATAATGCGGTCATTTTGGAGATGCAAAGAGTTCATGTTGGGGTCCTGTTTCATAGCTTTACAAACTTGAAGGAGTGAAAAATAGCACTTTTGGCCCTGCGCAGGAGGGGCAATATACCTATAACGTTTAATATTTAATCTATTTGACCACTCAATTTTCCATCCAAGACATAAAAGATGTTTCTGTAATTTGTCCATCCAAAATGGCCTTTCACGTTTGGAAGCAAGCGGATATTCAATAACAGCATCAGAGCATAATTCAACCTCAGACAAATTCAAAGGTTTCCAGTAAGTGGACGTTAAATGACTTGAGGATCTATCTTCTTGATTTTCTTCAAAAGGACTATCACCATAGCGGCTAATTTTATTTTGAAACTCTGGTACACACTCTTTAACAGGAAGGACAGGCTCATTCTGCACAACAATTTCCTTATCATGCAAGATCATGCTCAAGTCAACATTGGCCGTAGCTTCAGCAAATTCCTCCTCTGATGTTTCTTTTAATAAACTCCCTGGATGGTTTCCGACAGAAATAATTTCATTTAGTGTAAGAGATAAGTAGTGATTAACTACCTTCGTTATCAACTTTGTCCACAGGTACTTCAAATTACATGTCCACTCTTTAATCGTCTCAAATTCCTCTTTTGAGCGTAAATCATACCAAATCTGCTTGGCCGAAACTGCGATAAAAAATTTCCTCTTCTGCTCCTCAATCAAATCAAGAAACACCCAGTTACCTCGCCGGGTCCACTCCTCGATAATTTCATCCCAGTCCTGAGTAATCCGCAACTGATGAATCCCAACCTGCATTTCATCACCCAAATCAGGGAAAAACACAATCCTCTTGTCGATTCCATCACAATGGTCAAATATAACACCTTCCCACCAAGCTTCCGCATAGTTAACATCAACACACAGACCAAATATAAGGTCCCGCTTATCGAGCTCAATCAAAGGAGGCAATGGCCTAATGGACCCTCGTGCGTAGCAGTTTGCACCTTCAATATCACCGTCCAAAGCTTTTGAAACAATCACTACCTCCTCAAGATAATCTACCCCATTATCATCCAAAATATTGTCATATCTGACACGCCTTTGCAAATCCTCACACAGGATAACTGTCCCAGGGTGCCACGATCCTTGAAACCCAATTTCCATACTCCTCACCTGCAAATTTGCAAAACTCAATTTTAAAAAATAAAAAATAAAAATTCCATATAGAATATAGTCTTACACTCGAGTTTACTACTATCACCAAAACTCAAAATTTCCAAAAAAAAGAAATGTTAGATAAAAATGTCTCACTAGAAATGTGAGATATAAAAATGTCTCACTTTTATTCAGTAATGGTTCTTACTCTAAATCTTGATCAAAATTCCCATACTTGATGGTATGTTTTTATTTGTTCTACTGGATACCCGTGACAACAGTTTTATAGTGCCACGGGATGCAATAGGAATCACTCTAGAGTTACCTCAGATAGATATTATTGAAAATATATTATCAGTCAAAAGAACACAAGTAATTCATGTTTGATTGTCACTAATCTAAAAAAGAATATTTACTATCAGAACTAAATAGTCAATCACTACTACAGAGGAAAACATGGTAAAAACTTATTATAATTAGTATGATAATTAAAAAATTAAAAATAGTTAGAAAAAACACCAAAATAAAACAAAGTATCATAGGTTAAGCATTCATATAGATTTTTTTTTTCTTTTATAGAGTTTCATTATTAGTCCCTATTTATCGTAAAGGATAAAGTTACATAATGTCTATTTTTTGTGGTATCATATTCATACGATTGTATTTAAATCATCCGGTTTAGGGATTGAAAACTAGTTGGACCGGTTTGATGATTCTATGAATTAGCAGAATTAGCAGTTATTGATGCAACGTAAAAATAGGAAATAGGCATGTTCATTATGCCTTTCATTTTGAAATAACTAATAATTATTGGGCGATTGAAATATCACAGATTCGATTAGCAGTTCTTAATGCAATGTTGAGATAGGGTCATGACTCCTAAGAATATCCTCTATTAAGTTTAGATTAAAAAAAAAAAATTCCTATCCCTCCCACGCACCCCTTTCCAAATACCCTTCCTCACATCCCTATTCCCCATGCACTCCATCCCACCTAAATGTCAGCATCCCTTCACCTCCAAATACCGGCGGCATCCAACCCTCAAGATATCACCCCTCAATAACCACACAATCGCAATAGATAAAAGCGTTAAAGGAAAAAAGATTAATAATAACAACGCAGTGTGTTTTGCGTGGTGATTGGATTAGGTAATGAACGAATGTGTGAGTGTGAAGAAATCCATAACTCCTTCTTTCGTTTCCCACACCTTTCTCCCATGATCACCGTCAGCATTTTCAGGTTTACAAGGTTTTCAGAAGCAGATGGAGTTCCACTTTTTCGATGACAACCAAACCATCCTTCAAATGGATAGCCCACAACTCTAAATTGTAATGTATTTAGAACGTTGAAATGTCAAAATTTGATTATGGGAATTGAATCTGAAAAAACAATATCATATGTAATCTATCCAAAAATGTTCAACCAATTAAGTATCCGATCATGAAAAATAAAAAACAAAAATATCAACTACCTAAATCAAAACGAATAGAAACCTAAGACGAACAGAGAATCACTATAATTAAAAAATCAACAATTCATAATTACATTTTTTTTTCTCAACTAATCAAATTACCTCCACTTTCGCATTCACATCAAGCTTTCTTGAGATATTTCGTCTGAGATTTCTGTTCTCGTCATTATCATGACCCTCCATTGCCGGTGGAGCTAAGATCAATCACCACACTTTTTTTCTCCTTTTTGTGTGTGAGGGTATGAAGTTTGCCACTTTCACATCCCACTGTTACAGTGATAGAAAAACCCCAAGAAGATGAAACAGGGTTTTGAAAAAATGTGAACCAAACAGAACATACAATATTTAAACCATAGACTACAACATTCAAAACCATCAGACTTCTGAGGAAAACCCACAAATATTAAGACTTGCGGTCCAAGTAACACATGACACCCTCCTATTAACAAAATATGTATTAATATATTAATAATATTAAATATTTTTTAATTATTATTTTTAATAAAATTATCAAAAACTACAAAAAATAATAATAATAATATATTTTTCATAGTTGAAGTGATAGTTTATATAATAAAAAATATTGATGAATACAAATAGAAAAAGATAGCATCGGTAAAATACATTTTATGATCTTATTTTATTTCAATTAATGATAATTCGGAGGCTAATAAAATATTATATATTCAGTTGTGATTAGATAATTTTGTAATTTTATAACAAAATTATTGCTACTAATTAGAAATATTTTTTTGGGGTACATAATCAATATTATTTTATTTAAATTTAATTAAATGTATTAGTTGTAACATTTTATTTTTTAAATAAAAAATTTCAAATATAAGATTATATATCAAAGTGTATGGAAATAATAAAATGTTTATTATAATAATAGATAGAAGAATAAAGAGATTTTAATGTTACTTACTTTCACAATTTTTAGTGCATTTCCATTATTATTATGATAAATAATAATCATAATTAAAAAATACATAGAAAATATAATTTCAAATTGTTGGAGGCATAATTTCGCTCAAACATATAAAACAGTTTTTTTAAGACTTCAAAAATAACTATTATTATGCTGTAACAATTATTTAATGATAGAGTTCTAATAGATTAATTAAAATTTACAATTTTAATAAAATATTATAATTGATCTTGAAAAAGTTAAACTAAAACAGAAACGTAACGGAGATTTATTTTTCTTTTGAAATGAATATTTAGAGAATGAAGTATATTTATGCAATAAAATATAAAATTATTTTTTAAGGCATTAAATTAGTAAATCAAAGTTAAGATAATACTAAAAACATTCACATGACTTTAATTTTAAATTAGACACTAATCTTATTTTTATTTTTAATAAAATATTTCTTATATTTTAATAAAATAACCATTATCATCGTTATTACAAATAGTATTTTCTTAAATCGTAATTTGATTTTTCTTGTATATATATTTCTATTTATCCATAACATATTTATGAAGTATATTTTTAGTCTTTAATTAATATAAAGAAATAGTTTCATTATTTTATTTTATGATATATTGAAAAGTCATAATTTTTTTTCACCCACTAAAAAACATAACTCTGTTATTTTTGTATTTTACATAATATAAAAATTTCTTACTATTATTATTATTACTAGAAAAAACGCCAAATGTTATTGAGTTTGTGTGTATTTTATTCTGTTACCTTTTTTTATAAAATAGATTATTTAGTTTCTTTTATCTTAACTATTGTATTATTTAAAATATTTATTTTACTATTCTAGTATTATATACTTCAATATATTAATATTAATAGATTATAGACTTATTTTATTTTTATTATTTATACATTTTCTTCATATTATATTATGTATTTTAATGTTACTTCAAAAATATCTTGTGTCTGTTTAAAATATATTATAATTTACATTATTTTATGTTTAAATAAAAATGTAAATGTTTATTTAATAAAATTTAGATTTAAATATTTTTTCTATTATATTATGTGAATTGAAGATATCATTGATTCAAGTTACGATCTCAATAATCCAATCTAATAAAAAAATAAAAAATTATCGATATTTTTGTGTAAAAAATTTAATATTAATAAAATTCGAATTAACCTAATCAACTTAATCATTAACACTGTAAAAATTAAAGTCGACTAATCCAAAGACTCAAATAATTAATTTTAAATTATATTTTTTAATCAATTTAAGTCGCTAAACCTAAATTTTAATCGTTACTTAAACTTATGTCTACATCCAAATTCATATATCTACTTAATAATTTGTACGTATCAACTAAATTTTCAACTTAAATCATTTCTAATTTTCCTTGTTATTTTTTACATTTCAGCTAAGTTTTGTGAAAAAAATTCTTTATAATATGTAAAATATATTTCATGGAAACTATTCAATTAGCTTCAACCAATCAATTAAAGTTATATTTGATTTCTTTTATTTTTTTTGTGTAGTTGATTTCACAGTTAATTGATTCTTAAAATTATTTAAATTCCTTTTTTTATTATTTATGAAAGATATTAACATTTTTATTTTTTTTCAATAGAAGATAGTAAGGCTCATATTATTTTTGAGTATTTTATTTTAATCAATCAATTTGTTTTGAGTCGAGTTATAGATTTTTTTATCCATATAAAAAATTAATTAGTTTTATAATAAATTATTAAAGGGATGAAATGTTTTAAAAAGAGCCTTAATTTATTCAAAGTTAGAGAAGTAGTATTTATTTATAATTTAAAAACAATAAAGATTGAAGAATTAAAAATAAAGGAATTCTTTTAAAATGCATGTATTAAATAAATAAACTAGTTTTAATTAATCTTATATTTATGTATAAAGTAAATATGTTTGGAGTATATATTTTCAAAATGTGTATCAAATAAAACCCTTCTATTTTAAATAAATAAAAATTTTGTGTATTCATTATTATATAATTAAATTCTTTTACTTTTTAAAAATATGTTTTTGTAGTTAGTTAAAATTAAAAGTTAAAATATTGAACAAATAATTAAATAAAATAAATGATTTAATTGATTGATTGAAATTATTCCTATTGATTATCGCAATATATATATATATATATATATATATATATATATATATATATATTAATGGTATGAAATTATAATAACTCTTTTAATTACACAATATTTATTCAATAACATACAACTTTGATTTTTAAAAGACTAAATTAGTAAATAAAAATCTTTTCATATGATAATAATAATAATTTAGGTATAACGAATCACTCTCCTAAAGGAAAAATATTATTTTAATGAATTTTCAATTAAATAAATAGAGACGAATCTTCATATGTAAAAAATCTTATAAAAAATAACTTGTTATCTTAAAAAATCTTATAGAGACGAATCGAATTCATAAAACCTTGCTATGTTAAAATAATTTTTTAAATCTCAGTTCAATACACCCTGATTTTATAAAGATTATTATAATAGTTTAAAATAACAATTAAATTTAATCTTATTTAAACAAACTAAAAAATATTAATTTAATCCCGAAAATGCCACATATAATTCCGAGGGTGATATTTTGACAGAACAAACAATTTCTTATACAACCCATTTTTATTAATATAATAATCATTAAAAAGTTTAATAATAATAAAATTTTATTATTATAATATAAAATGCATTGATGGATTATTTGTGTGAATAGTGATGTAAAAGTACTTTTTTTCCTATAATTTCAGTTTGCTTTGAAATTAACAGGGCACAAATATTATTGAGCGACTAACCAAAACAAAGCACTACAAACTCATCACTAATAATTTTATTTTTATTTTCTTAAAATTTCTAACTTGATACTTACTTTGGTCTTGATTTTGTACAAACTAACTAAGGCATAATGCAATTTTAAACCTGCTGATAAAGAATAAGGATAATGCAAGAACAGAAGAGCGCGAGTCAAAGCAATGAAGCTTGGGAGTTGTGGTAGTGGTGAAATCTTGGAAGGCCAACTTTTTGGCCTATGGCCTTGATATCTTCTTGCACTTGCGCTCTGAACTGGTTGTAAGTAAAGGGCTTGTACTTGGAGTTCTCAATCACAGCTTCTTCATCAGGGAACACAAAGTAGCATAGGGAAATCCTCTCTTTATGTTTGTTTATGCTCACTCTGTGTGTCGCACTCTTATATCTGTCGTTACTAATTGCCTAAACCAAACCAAAACACCCATTATGTAAATTTACGAGTGATATAAAGTTTGGAAGCATAAAAATGAAAAAGAACATGGACCTGCATCATGTCTCCAAGGTTGACAATGAACGTGTTGGGAATGGGTTTTACGTTGAACCATTGATGATGATTGAGCAGCTGAAGTCCACCAACTTGATCATCTTGGTTCAATATGGACAAGACTGAGCTATCTGTATGCTCCTCCATGCCCCAACCAACATTTGTATCAGGGCAATTAGGGTACCGATACACACGCATCATTCCACTCTTTTCTGCTAAGTATTCCTTTGATCCTTCTACATCCAACTCAAGGTTCTTTGCCATAGCTTCAAATAATCTTCTTCCAATTCTCCACAAGTGCCTTTCATACTCCATTAGCAGAACTCTTCCAATTAACCATACACATGCATTTTGTCAATTAAATCTCTCCACAAAATATTAAAACATCTAGAGAATTTAAAGTTGATTTCCTCTTAAAAATATGACTATGTTGCCGTATATATGTTTGTTGGTCTACAAGTAATTAATTTATATTGACTATGAGAAGAAACAAATAATAAGATTCAGAGCCTATATCTTGCACATATACCGAATAAATAAAGTAAATCACCTTGGTCTCTCTCCTCTAATAAGATTCAGCCTTATAGTTTATTACCTTTGGGCAAATTGAAGTTGGCAATCACTTTAATTTGGATTATTTCATAAAGTTATGCGGTACCATATTTGTGCTTGAGTGCGTAAGGATGATAAACAATTATTTCAGGACAAACTTCATATGCAAAATAATGCTAATATGTTTGTTTTCAAGGTAAATGTTTTATTACATCAATTACTGTAAAAGGCTTCAATTCTACTTCTAAATTAATTTAAAAGACACTTCAATTGCAAACGCAAGGACGTGATCGCAAGAATGCTAGTAACATACGTCTCTTCAATTTGTTCTTTTTTTTTTTCTAAATTTGATTGTCTTCAATATGTAACTAAGGAAATTATACGTTAAGCACGACCATCAAATCTGATAATCGTCCTCAATGAAATAACACAATCCAACTGGTCGAACCACCCGTTCATGCAGTCCATCAAGTGTCATAATCTCAAAAGGGTCAAGATACCCCACAACCAAACCATGATGCATATAAACAACGAATAAATAATCAATATAAAAACATTTACTACTAATGAAAAAGAAATATAGACCGCTTTGTGATTAAACGACTATAAAAAAATGACACCTTTCGGTGCATATGTTTACTTATATAAAAATTAAGAATATATATATATATATATATATATATATATATATATATATATACGCAACACAACACGCAAACTCCAAAAAGATAGACCCGAGGGCCTGCCACGAAGGAAACAAAAACCAATAAACTATAAGCGAAACAAAAGGCATAGAAAAACATAGAAGAAGACAAACGATATGCAAGTTGTTCTAGCGATGTTGTTCTTACCTCACGGACTCGAGCGTGTGAAGTTGAGGGTTGAAGTGGGAGAGTTGACTCAACGGCACACCAAAACCTTCAACCCAATTCATGTTTTGGGGGCCTCTCGGTAGGGCTGTCCCCGATGGCGTTAGGGCAGGGGTGCCCCAAAAGTATGTCATAGGGCTGCCATTGCATGCACCTTCTTTGACCGCAAAGGGCAGAGAGAACAGTTCCTTCGCTACCTCTTGAAGTTCCTTCAAAAGGGTCAACGGAACACCATGGTTCACCAATCGGAACAGACCCCAATTCTTGCAAGCTTCCTCCAACTTGTCATGGTGTAAGCACTCGAGATCTATGATGGGCACAGGATCCGGGTCACATAACTCTTCATCCTGGTCGGGGTTAGGTGGTGGTGGATGTTGCCGACGGTCTTGGTGGCGGAGATCGGGAGGGTAGGACTCTAAGTTGTTCATGTTGTTTAATAGCAAGTTTCAGAAATGAAAATAGGTCTTGAATGCATGCTGTGATTCAAACACTGGAGGGATGAGATGGGTGGCTATATATATAGAGCGGATTAAGGGTCAAATTAGCTGAATTTAAAAGAAAAATAAATCTAAAAATTAAAATAATTATATTTTGAAAATTTAATACAGATGAATAAATCTCATTTTAATATATATATATATATATATATATATATATATACTAATAAAATATTATTGTTTTCATTTATTTTAAATTATTTTAAAAAATAAAACGGATAAAAGATTATCTGAATTAATTTAAATAAAAAGTTTTTTTACAGCCATGTTTGAACTATTCGAGTTGGTCCATCATGCTACCCCTCTTGCCACCTTTACCTCTATATGCCCTCAAACCATATAATATAATATAATAAAGTGCCATGATAGAGAAATGATAGTTGTGCCTCGTTGTTTTAACCTATACTGTTTCTTTTCTACATTTGTTAAAGTGATCGAGTGCCAACGAAATATTCAGGTTTCGAACATAAAATTCCTTCAGCTAAAGCTGTAGCTGATATAACCTTTACGGTAAGTAATTCACAAAAACCAATAATATTATCGTATACATTGAGGCAAATTAGTCTATTCTTTAAATAGTGAACAAGTTGTGCAGAGGATGATTAGATTAATTTGAAGAAAACAAAAGTGATACCTTGAAATTAGAAATGATGAAGCGTGTTTTGTTTGGAGCAGAAAAAATAATGTGATTCTAGAGGATTCTGCAAGGGTTGGTTGGGGGACCAGAACTACATGCAAATCGACCAGTGTCTATAAGACCCCTCTGTGCAAAGGTCCAAACAAAAGGGGGGTTGTCCAGTGTTAGGGCCACTGTATGCAGCATGGACTGGTCCCCCTGCCCTTCCTTCCGTATTCCAAAGGGATGGTAAACAAATGAGAAAATCAGATGCTATCATGTGTATATGTATCACCACCGACCCATATGTGTTCGGACATCACTCTAGCATCCACCTTCTTGGTCAAGATGCATCCATTTTTCAAAATAACTTCCAGTAAATTGTTTATGGAAAGAAAGTGCTAAGAGTGTTTTGTATAATAATCAAGGAAAGTTGTTTAAGATGTAATTTTGCTGGTATTTTTAGTGTTTCTTCATTAAAACTGGAATTATTTTAGCAATCCATGCTGACAAGTAACATGTCACTTGTTCAAGATAAAGTGATTAGATATTTGAAGTAATGTTTTATATATGAATCTATTTTTAATCATACCTCAGAATACTTCAACTGTGTATCCAATCCAAAGATGTAACATGCAGTTGGTAGTGGGGCCATTTACATGTAACATCTATTGTCTCCCCCTTCTTATCTTCCAAGATGTTCAAAATTCAAAAGGGATGGCCAAAGAAATAAACAAATCAGATGCTATATATCATATCAACACCGTCCCATGTCATGTGTTTGGACATGCATGCACCTTCTTAGTTAAGGCAAATGTGGATATTTGTGAGGAAAAGTTACTGTCAAACAATTTTCTTTAGGAAAATTTTACAGAATCAGAAGGGGTGAGCTGTGACCCAAGTTACAGCCAACAATGCATGGCCAAGTACTGGATGGCATTGATGTTGTTTGTCTGTTTAATCCAGTGCTTCTATATTTTTTTTTTTATTTCTGTAAAAAGTATCAATGCTTTTTCTTTTTATCAGAAACAATGTGAAAAGCTGGCAAAACTAAACCTGTGGTAGAATCTTGCAGATGATTGGTACTGCTTTGTTGTCAGTCTAATTGGGATTCAAAACTTTATTGTGATGCCTTTGCATGCACTATGTATGAGATGGGTTTGCTGTGTACATAATATATTGAGTGACAATTTTTAATAGATTTGTGATAATTAGTATTATGAATTTTGACTTAACTCTTTTGTTTAGATTTTACATCTAATTAATGTGACACTTGGATTGTTATCTAAACGATGTTCTTTGGTCTTTGACTCCTTTCTGTTGGTGCACTTTTGGTCTGATCCTTACTGGTATCTATATCTGGTTGTTTTTTCATCTGTTCATTGATCCTGTGGAACTTAGAGTTGGCTTGCTTCTGTTTGTTTTGGTATGGGAACAATGAAAAGGTGTTCATACAGTTACCATTGAAAATGAAAAGATATAATAAGAGTTATTCCAGTTGAGTCATTAGTTCCAAGTTTAATCTTTATATAAACAATTGTGTTAAATATTCAGATACAGAACTAAATAATTAAAATGGTTTTATATTTGAATATAAGATTGTTTTCCTCAAAGAACATATAATCTATAAAAAAAATGCAGGAATGTCTAAATAGGAAATTGCGCAGGTAGAAATAGCTTTTAATGTGTTTTGTATCCAAACCAACGATACAAAATCAGAATGTAAATACAAATTTGCCAAGTGAACAAGCTCTTCTAGAATTGATTTATATATAAAAAATTAATTTATATAATGAATATTTATACACTATAATTTAAAATTTCAATTGATATCGTATCTCTATTCGTGTTTCAGTGAGTAGATGTAAAATGGGTGATCGTTTATCTATTTCGACTTTTGGAAATGACTTTTTTCGTAAGTGGCAAGAAGGAATCAGATGAACAAAACCCTTTGGGAAAGAATAATTTTCTGAGATCTTTGTACTTAATTTGATTCTGGTTTAAAATATGAATTGAATAGAATGTACGAGTGTCATATTCATATATAAAATAATTTTATACCATATATTCAATCACAAATCATATGACTTATGATATTTAGTAGTAGAAGTCAGTGATTCCAATCTACATTGTATAAACAGAGAATTTTAACAGATATAATAATCTTAATTACAAGGTTTAAACAAAATTTTCTTCTATGAAAAAAAAAACATGAAACCATTAAAGCAGAGAAGGTTTTTGCCAGCTATAAATGAGTGATTCTGTAATAAGAATGCGAATTAAAAGTGATTTTCCATCCTGTGTTATGCAGCCATGAGGGATGAGACTTCCTAATCACTTTATTCTGTGTGTTTGAATATATTCCTTCTGCTTTAGGTTATTGCAGAAAATGGAATAAATTGAAACCACCTTGAAGTTGAGACAAGATCATAACAACTATTAACTATTCATGGGAAGAAAGGATGGTAGTATGATCCCTGTGGATGTAAAAGGCATAACATGTGTTGGAAAGATGTACCAGAAATTTTGGAATATGTTCTACAAGCTGTGTCTTTGCCTTGGTTGTCACCTTTAACCTTGACCTATCATATCATATTTATATACATTTATCTATAAGCTCAAATCACATGCCTCTGCTTGCTATGCAAAACTTTTCCTGTTGTGAAGGAGAGAAAAATAGATGGAAGAAATGTGATTTTTTTTTTATGATACGATGAAAATTGCATTATTTCTTCCATTTGTTTTTTTTTTTTTAATATTATAGATTTGTCTTATATGTTATAATTGTTGGTGTAGTTATTGTCGTGAGCAGTGTAATGTAGTGAAAGCCACGTGGAAAGGCACGGGAAGTTCACGTTGTTCAGAGAATGCATCGTAGCATGGAATTAATTAAAAACCAAATATGACAAAAACCATCTTATTATATACATCAATAGTTCATAACACACTACTCAACAAATTCGAATTCACTACCAACTCATTTTCTCCCTTTCATTTAAATTCATTTCAATAATTCTTCTAGCTTTTCGGATAGGTCCAATTCTTGGAGTTTTCCCAATAAATATATAAATATCTAAGTTTGGGTTCTGTGTTTTTGTTTTGGATTTCATAAACATAGAAAAAAAAATGTCTTCTATTTTTATTCCTAAAATAATGAGGATTTCTATTTTTATTCCTAAAATATTGAGGTAAAAGACCTAAAAAGACGGAGATTTATATTTATTATCGTAGAAAAAAAATACAAAATATTTTCAAAATAGGAACAGTACTTTGGGTATAACTGAAGGACAAATAAGCGGGAGGAACAAAAGACCAACTAAATCTATATAATATGAATCATACGAGATGTTAATAATTTACATAATTTTTTTTATATTAATTAATAATAGACCAACGGATTAGTAATAATTGTAATAATGAGAAAAAATAACCTATGTTCTTATATATATAAAAAAAGTTCATACAAGTAGGTTTTGATGATTGTTATATGATATTTTTTGGGTAGATTACATTGAAGGTTGAAAAATGAAGAAGATCGAGTTGGAAAATGGGTCTTTTTATGAAAATACTTTGATATTTAGGTTAATATAAAATAATAATAATAATATTTGAACCAAAATCAAATTATTTATAGATAATAGAATTATTTATAGGTCTTTTACTAAAATATTTTAAATAATAAAAAATATTAATTATAATAATAATGTGATAATAAACTTTTTACTAAAATATTTTAAATTGTAAAATATATTTATTTAATATTAATTATAACTTAAATTAATTATATATTATTATCATATTTTTGTTATATAATAAATATGAGGTAAATTAATTATATATTATTATCATATTTTTATTATATAATATATATAAATTTGAGAATTGGATAGATAATATATAGATTTGTTAATTTTATTTATAAATATACCATATAATAAAATAAAAAAATTTAAGTATATTTATATTTGTTTAAGCAAGATATATGTTTATTAGTTAAGATTAATTCTAGTTAATATTTCATTGGATTTAATTTATAAAATTTATTATCTAAATTGAATTTCTTTAATTTATTATCTAGACCAAAAGAAATACATTCCTACGTTTTATATGAAGTTGTGAAAAAATTTCCGTGGATAAAATTTATTCCTAGGAATAATTTTAAATGCTATTCTAACGCTTTGACTTCATCAATGTACTTGAGATAGTTGCATGATACACAAATCAAATACTTCCACTAGAACCCCACTAGCATCCACATATTCATGCCTTTTTTTTATTTTTCATTCTTTTACAATTTTAATATATTAACAACTATCAACATGGTGCATTGTATATGAATAGAAAAAACAATACAATTTTAAGTCAATATTAAATATATAGTTTTAAAAATAAAATTAATATAAATGGAAAATATTTTATTTTGGCCAGTAGGTCGGTGTAAACTCTTTAGTGTATTATAGTTTTATAAAAGTATCTAAAAGAAAGTATAGATAAATAAAATTTTTATGGTCCAATCGATATAATAACCATCGCTAAAATTTAATGTAATCTTAAAATATACATTTAAATTAAAACCACCTTGATTTTTTTTTTAATATATAGTCATGATGGTATAAAAGTCTAACTGGCAAATATGTTTAAAACTTTGTTGATTTGATAGGTTAATTAATCAAAGTAGTTTTGCCAGTCTAAACAAACTATAACAACTCTCACACACAATGCATTTATACTTTCACAACAATAGTATATAAAGATGCTCTATTTTGTAACAGTTAATTAAAGTTTAAATATTTTCAAATAGAAAAAGATGTATTTTTTTATTGGATAGTAGTATCTCTTAATAATAGTAAAATAATATAATATTATTGCAAACATTTTAAATATTATACATGTATTTTAAATAGTACTTGAATTTAAAAGTGTTAGTTAATATATATATATATATATATATATATATATATATATATATATTACTATTTAAGAAAAAAAGTGGAGTAAGTAAAACAATTAATAATAAATATGAACAATACAAATAAATGTAAAAATAAAATATTAAAAAATTAATTTTATAATCTTAGGAAAAATAAAAATTCTTAATCATATTTTTAATCCTTAAAATTTAATGCAAATTAGGTTTTGATCTTTCAAATTCAAAAAAATACATTTAAATCATCGAGTTTTTGTCTAAATAATTAACCACTAAGAGCTAAATTTAGGAGTTTTTTTTCCAAAACAATTTTTTATACCTGACCAATAAAGTTAAGAAATAAAAATATATTTTTAAATTTTGAGAAATTAAAATATAATATTATAAATAAATACATAATATAAATTTTTATTATAGTAATAAAAAAGATATTTTTTAATAATATTAAAATAATATCACATTAAAATAATTTTGTAGAATATTTAAATGTTCTAGATTATAAAAATATTTATCTCTTAGTAACAGTAAAATAACATAATAATAAATAATTAAAATATAAAAAATATTAGAACTATAAATTTATATGATTTCTTATTAATCGATTTTATGTTTTTCACTTAATTTTAAATTTATAAACTATTCCTACATGTTAATTTATTTTAATATGTATATATATATATATATATATATATATATATATATATATATATATCGTAATCTTTTTTTTTTAAACAATAAACTGAGGGATGAGAAGGATTAAATTATAAATTAGTGAAGTGAAAAATATATATGGCCTTGGTCCATTAGAAAGTTGATGCCCAACAAAAACTTTTCTGTTTTTGGGCTCTAGATTGTTCCAGAAAGCGTAGTTCGTTTCTTTCCTTTTATGCTCCATGCACCCCCTGTTTCTATCCCTTTCGCATACACTGCCACAGAGCGCTAGCTGTTCTGTGTTCAAGCAAAGCGACACCGTTATACACTCTCTCTCGCTCAGAAACCCTAATCGCGTCTTGCGGTGATTTCTCATCGATTGTAAGTTCGCTGATTCTGATTCTCATATTGTATTGATTTTCTCATTGTTTATGGTGCGAGTTTGGCTCTCTTCCTCCCCCCAATTTTTGTACCTAATAATAATATCTTCATTTGTATTTATATTTACTGTGTGAAGGTTCTGTTGTTGTTTGAATCGTACTTATTGTTTGGGTTGAGGCTCATTGCACCCGGCGAATGAACGCAAAAAATTATTCGTCTAAAGCCCACATAGATCTAGGCTCTCATTCTAGTATGTATTACCTTAATATAGCTTGAACTGGGTTCGAAAAAGGGTTTGAGCTTTAGGTTTTCGATTTTTTGGGTGCCTGTGCTTATTTCAAGTTAGGTTCCATGATATTTGTCCGTTATTTCCCAGTCTTTGTTTCTGTCTGTTGTTAATTTTAGTGTTTTGATGTGAGGCATGCTTCATTTAATCTACCTGTGCTCGACGTGACCGAGGAGAAAGGTTTGTACCAAACCATTTTGCAATAAAAAGTGGATCAAGCTAATTGCCTGCATAAAGAGTTCTATTTTGATTATCTTGATTGTGGACCAAAGACAAAGTGCTTTGGGGTCTTGAAACAATGGTTCTTGTTCCCTATCTATGAAATTTTGGGATTCTGGTTGCCTTGTCCCGTCAGGAAAGGAAGAAAGGAAATATTCATATGTATGTAATTATTAAACTAGTGAACCTTTAGCCTACGCACAAGACATTTCAAATTCAAACTAAATAAAAAATTATAGATGCTTAGGGTTTTACCTCTGCCTTTGTGAGTGAGGTATATGGTGTAACTGGGTAAGGTATGTTATAGTAGTTTATTTTACTGTTGAAGCAAAGCATAGCTAACCAGTTGATGGCTGTTGGAGTTCATAGGTTCCAAGTATGCTCCAACTGCAACATTAGACATTACAATTTCTCATGGTTTTATGAAATTTATCCAAGGAGGATAAGACAAAACAAGATTCTGGAGCCGACAAGGAAGATGATATATGTGCCGTCATTGATTGGCCTTTGTTAAGAAATGATATCATTCAATACTTGCAGTGCCACTTTATTATGCAGCTTGACATCAACTGTAAAATTGATGGTTGTGCAATTCTTTATGATTTGGGTACAGCCAAGTTGTATCTAATTTGAGGAATGGACTATTTGATCCTTTCATAAAAAAAAAATTCACTTCGCCGTACATTTTGCTTATGTATTATGGAATACTAGTTATCAAGCCTACTATCCCAATATCATGTGAACTTTTGTGTGTTATAACTTAGTTTCGTTAGAATTGGCATTTTACTCAGATAGGATCTGGAATTCGCTATAGGAATTATAGAAAAAATTCAGATAACATAGCCTGAGTTCAGTACGAAAAAGCTCGAATAGTGCTGAAAAGGAAAAAAAAAATAAAAAAATCAAATAAGGTATCCATCCTTCTCTGCCTCCCGGAAACTACCCATATGATTGCCTCTTCCCCTATTTTTCTCTCCCTTCTATCCTCCTTATTCTTTACCATGTAAGCAAGGTTGTTATAACCAAAATCCCTCTCTTGTAGCGTACTCATATTTCGCACATGGTCTAGTGGCATATGAGTGCCTACAATATAGATTTACTTTATATTTCGTTATACTTTCGAATGTAGATTGCAGACAGTGCTTACTGGTTATATACATGTATCCAGTGTCTAGCAGGTTGTTGAAAACATGGCCAAGCATCATCCTGATTTGATTATGTGTCGAAAGCAGCCAGGGATTGCCATTGGACGACTGTGTGAAAAATGTGATGGCAAGTGTGTGATTTGTGACTCTTACGTGCGTCCTTGTACACTCGTCCGAGTTTGTGATGAATGCAACTACGGATCGTTTCAGGGTCGATGTGTCATATGCGGAGGAGTAGGAATATCTGATGCCTACTACTGCAAGGAATGCACGCAGCAGGAGAAAGATAGAGATGGTTGCCCCAAAATTGTTAATTTAGGAAGTGCCAAAACTGATTTATTTTATGAACGCAAAAAGTATGGTTTTAAAAAAAGATGATAAGAATACTGCTGTATCTTTTCTTAAAACCTTTTGTATGTGTTTTGCTCGGGTATAAGAACCATAGGATGTGAGACCTTGAGCTTGTAAACTTTTATATGGTACAATTATGTTATAAATGCTTGATTAGATTGCTGCTGATCAAAGAATTACCCATTATGGAAGCATCAACTTAATTACCGATGGACCATCGTTTGTATTGGTTGCTTAATAACAAATGGCCCTGAAATATTGACCTTGAAATGCGGCTAGAATTTGTGCCTGTTGCCTGGTGCAGGATGAATGCTTTGGATTCATATTGAGTATTCCAGAATTATGGTATTGTCAGCTGTCTTGGTTTTAGATATATGATCTTATATACTTGTTCTTACATTGATGAGTTGATTCGTGTCTGAAGTATGGGTTATCTCTGAATGGAGGATACTTCTGCTCTCGAGTCTCGTTTCCTTGCAGGCCATTATTGTGTTTTTCTTTCTGTTTGCCACGTGGATTGGGCCATTGGGGTAAATTATTAAAGGAAGTTTTAAGTTTGTCTTCAAAATATTTTGGAACATTGAAAATAGTTACTTAATATTCAAATAGGCCTATTTATTTGTCCGTATTTTGAGTTATATTTAGGCAGAAATTGAATATTTGTTAACGTTATTAAGTTTGAAGAGAATTCAAAACTGAAAATAAATAAAATAAAATGTGATTAATTGTACAACATGATATATATGAATAATTAGGCTTTGACTATTTCGTACGTGTTTGATAAGTAAAAAGAGATTTATTAATGTTTTATGCTTTTTGTTAAATTGAAAAAAAAATATTATTCAATTTTTTGTTTTTTAATTTTTTTAATTAATATGTTACTTTAAATAAAATTAGAAAACTAAATATGTAAGTTAACGTTATTTTATTAGAATTAGAGCGCTTATTTTAAAAGTAGAGAGTGCGACTCTTATTAAGCATGATTTTGGGAAGATAAATAAGAAGACATGTAAGGAGTAAGTTATTTTAATCTAATTATAAAAAGTAACGTGAAGAAAAGTTCACTTTTTGTAAGCAAAAAGCAATGTGATAACTCGTCCTTATTCAATATAAAAAGTTACGTGATTTAAAAAGAGAAAAGTCACATGATTTAAAAGGAAAAAAAGTAAATTTATTAAAAAAAATAATATAGTAATAGAGTTACCATATTGACTCACGTGCTTGAACCATTCGAATAATATATTCAGAGATTTAAAAAAAAATACAACCAACACACAGGGTTTGATAAAATAATAATAATAATAGTAACTATCAAAATATTTCAATTGAACAGAAGAATTAATTGGACCAGCTGTATAAGTTGACATCCAAATTAAATTTGGGATGAATTCGTATCTTATGATTGAATAAATATTTTATTTTCTTTATATGTGTATATTTGAAATTCGGATTCAACTCCTCAAAATCGAGTGAAAGTAAAAATAATTTTTTCATGTCATTGACGGAAAAAAGTTTAATATATATATATATATATATATATATATATATATATATATATTTGATAATTAATATGAATTTCTATTTGTTAAAGAATATAGGTACAAAATTTGGAGTCAACAAATAATTTTTAAAAAATTATGATTAAAATAAACCAAAACACTTTAATAACATATATTAATATTCAGTTTTGAGTTGCACACTAATATTTCAGAAAAAACTTAATAGAATATCTCTGGATTAAAATTTAAGTTTTCATCTCGTTTTTATTATATTTCAGATTTTTTTATCTAATCTGTCTCTATTTTATATTATATTTTAAAAAAATAATTATACTGATAAATTAATTTTAATATTTTATTATATTATTTTTATATATAAATAAATATTTATAATTTTAAAATTATTATTATTATTAATTGAATACATACTTTAATTTATTATATTTGTGTTAAAATATTTAAATAAAATCAATATTTAATTTTTTATTTATATAAACATAAAATCCTTATAATATTATTATAATTAAATATTATAACATCATATTTAATCATTTAATTATATATATATATAAGTTAATTATTTTTAAATTATATTTTCAAATATCAATAAATATAAATATATAATTTATAAGAAAATATTTAATTAGTTAATTTTTATTTAATTAATAAAAAATAATAAAAAATTTAACTATTAATTGTTATTAATTTTTTAAAATAAAATCATTTAATTAAGATAAAATATGATATATATAAATAAAAATAATAAAAATCTAAAAATATTATATAACAAAATGTGATAAAGATAAATTATAAATAATATAATATATTAAATTTGATGAAGAATATTTAGAGAAAAATAAAAAAAATGTTGTTTTTCAAACTGATTGAAGAGAAATTAAGAAAATGTAAAAAAAAAAAATTGTGATAGAATGAGAATAATATGTGTGATTAAAATCTCTTAAAATTTGTTGTATTTAAAAATAAATTTACATTGATGGATTAAAATATTCTATCTATTCTCATTGTTTCATATACGCTATATGTTGGAATATGAATAATTAATTGTCTTCTCTATTTTCAGGTGATAGTTATTCGTATGTTTTAATATTGTACACGTTTATAATATGGTAACTATATATTGTATGTTCATCATCAGATAATATTCTTGATTTTATTTATTTCTGCTTTGATAATTTTTTCTTTGATGTTTAAAATTTGAGAAATTAAAAGAAGCTTTTTATTATCTGAGTTAACTTCAAAAATAATAATTTCTGAAAAGGAATGCACCATACGTGTGTTGGTGTAGCCGTTGACCTTTACTCCACCTCCTATTATATTCCCATCTGAATCCAATACAACTCAACTTGTATTTATAAGAGTCAACTTCCTCATCCAATAACCTTCAAACACGTGTCCCAAACACTTTAGTCATAGTCCCCTCTGTTCTATAAATACCTAAATCAAACCTTGGACTAACTACCCTAATTAGTTGACCCAATTGAAAGCTTCAAAAAATGGCATTTGGAACTCGCATTCCTGCGCCCTTCCTCTTCTCTCTCTTTTTGTTAACTTTCTCGATTCTATCTTCTGCTCGGAACCCTAATTTCTTCTCAAGTGAGTTTCTCTTTCATTTCATCTTATTTCTTTGTATCTACCTTTAATTTGTTCGGTGCAACATTAATTATGTTCATTAAAAGGAGACTTTTACATTTAGTTCATCATTTTTTTGGGTTGTTGATTATTACGTTTGAAGAACTAAAAGTCTTGATGGAAATTAGGATAAAGGAAACTAAGCAAAAAACATGAACTGCTTCTCTTGTTATGGCTGCCCCTTTTCGATTATATGATAATTAATTAAGATGACACAATAAATATGTTTTACATGGCTATAGTTTATTCCAATTAAATTGTATGTTGACAGTTAGTAATAAGAAACCATCTTATATGTGATTCAAATAGGTTGTTAAAAAAATTGTTATAAAAGTACCTTACATGATAATTACAATATTCTTTTATATTACCAAAGTAATGTAATTAAAAAAATTATATATTCTTGGTTAATTTGAATGCAGTTTTTGAGAAATAATATAGTTGATATCTCTTTTTTCATATGTTTTAAAGTAAAATAGTGTTTTGCTTGGGATTATTAGATGACGGTGATAATGATGAAGGTTGGAGGGTGGTTGGGAGGTCGTTGAAGGCAATAAACCTGGAAGACTATGCCGAAGCAACTGCAAACCCTCGCCACGATCCATCCAAGGGCCTAAAAGATTGAAACATTTTCTTTTTATCCATCAAAAATTGAATATTTGTAACAATTTAAAACAATTCAAGTTCTTTTTGCCTAATAATTAATTGAATTGCACTTTTTTCAGAAGAAAGAAATATTATTGCAAGTGTTGTTGTACTTTTCATATTATTTTAGTTTATGTAGCAAAATGAATATCATAGTTTTACTTTTTCAACAACAGTTAAAGAATTATCATGAAAGGTATTTTTAGCTGTTTTAAAACTGATAAACATAGAATATATATAGAATATACGATTATAAATACCGAATCCATGATTCTATTTAAAACCTTATTTACAGTTAAAGAATCTATTAACAGGTGCCCAGTGAATATGACATTTAACCCCTTATATTATAAACATAACTATTTTTTAGAGGAAGACTCAAAGAATAAAAGTTAGTGCCCTCTTTTATAATAAGAATAATAGATTTACTATTATCCACACACGTCTTTTTTTTTTTCTTTTTTTTTTTCTATGTCACGTGTATGAAAACACTAGCTACCTAGCATTAATTATATACCAATCATATGAAAGATTAGTAATTATGCATACATAACATTAAGAACAAAATTTGAGTTAAGTATTAAATAAAAACGAATCTCCAACCTAGAGGGCAAAAAAATAGTTATTCATCTCTTAATATTAATAAGGTGTAATAATATCCTTTATTTAGAAAAAAAGTAATAATTACGTAATAAAGTGGTTAGATATACAATAAAATAATAATATATATAGAAGATATATAAAATTGAGTTAAACACCTCTCACTTTTTAATATAGAATCAGAGTAAATTCTAATTATATTATTAGTTCAATATTCTTAAAATATATCATTTATTATTATTGCATCACTCATATCTTTCAAATAAAAATTATTAAAAATCTCTTTATAAATTAGTTTTATAATATTAAATTAAATTTTTTCATTTATAGTAATAATAATAATAATAAAATTCTTAATTTTAATGTGATAATACTTGTTATCCTTTGTGAGAAATGAGATGAGGAGATTTGTGAAAAAACATGAGGTGGCAATGGCACCTTGTGCTATAACTAAAATCCAAACATCAAATGAAAACAAAGGCCACACATGAATGGAACTTTCTTACACTCATTTCGTTTTCTGCCCCAATCTAAACTTTGTGATGCACATCTACTAAGCTTATATATGTATGTATACATTCTCACTCACACAAAATCTAGTGAAACCCATTTGAGGTTGAGACCAAAACTACAAGCGAGGATCAATTCAATCATGGCTTGGTTGAGAAACCTCTCCACCATGATGAAAGCATCATCCTCATCATCAGTGACTCAAAGAGCCAAAAACACATACCCATTTTCCTTCACTTTTCTCTCCCACTTAAGCATCAACCCGGTTAAGGAAAAGCCTTGTGTTAAGCCCGTTGTTGAGTGCTCGGGTCTGGAACCAACAAGGGCCCATGAGAAACCACGTGTGGTGGTGCTGGGCTCAGGGTGGGCTGGGTGCAGGCTCATGAAGGGCTTGGACCCAAGTGTGTATGACATTGTTTGTGTTTCACCTCGGAACCACATGGTGTTCACCCCCCTATTGGCTTCTACTTGTGTTGGAACTCTTGAGTTTAGATCCGTTGCTGAACCCATCGGAAGGATCCAACCAGCTATTTCTAGAGAGCCTGGTTCTTATTTCTTCCTAGCCAATTGTACTCACATTGATGCACATACCCATACGGTGTGTATGTTTGTGTGTCAACACCTTTTTTGTTTTTGTTATGACTGTTTTCTAACACTCAAGTTTTATCCATTTTCTAAGTTTGCATGTGCACACGGTTTATAGTTTGTCAGACAAATTCTTCGAGTAAAAAAATCGAATAGTTTTTTTTTTTAATAAATTAAAATTAATTTATGCATTGTATAAACTCTCTAATATAATTGTCATAAACTAATTTTAACTTATAAAGAAATTCATTTCATTCTTTTTTTTATTTTTCTTTCTTAAAAGTACTTGTAATGAAACTTGTCCAAATAGATTCTTATACTTAATTATTTTTTATACCCTAACATCTGTCACATGTACACTCACCAACGATACATTACCATTTCCGTCAATGTTATCTAGAAATTAAAAATGTTTTTTTTTTTTTTTTTTCAGTTGGAAAGGCAAAAGGTGAATTTATTTCAAATTGGAATGACTAAAAATATAATTAAGTGTATGATTTAATTATAATTATTGTTGGATTCATGATCTTAAAAAAAAAAAAAAAAAAAACTTGTGATTGGTTGGATTTGAAAGATTTGTAGAGCATAGCAGTGTGGCTTAATTATGGAGAATTTGGTGTTTGGCTTTGAAGGTGCACTGTGAGACAGTGACTGAAGGAGTAGAGACAATAGCTCCCTGGAAATTCACAATCTCATATGACAAGCTAGTAATTGCTTTAGGATCACAACCTTCCACTTTTGGAATCCAAGGAGTCAAAGAACATGCCATTTTTCTTCGAGAAGTTCACCATGCACAGGAAATTCGTAGGAAGCTCCTCCTGAACTTGATGCTCTCTGATGTTCCAGGTTTGTTAAACAATAGTTTACTATGTTGAGAATATCGAGTCATCATAATTTTTTATCGTTGTTATATTTGTAAGCAGGGATTTCAGAAGAGGAGAAACAAAGGCTTTTGCACTGTGTGGTTGTGGGGGGTGGTCCTACTGGAGTTGAATTCAGTGGTGAACTTAGTGATTTTATCATGAGAGATGTTCGTCAAAGATATGTCCATGTGAAGGATTACATCCGTGTCACTTTAATTGAGGTATGCTAAGCACCATCAGATATGTTATATGTGAACTTATGGAAGGTAAAATGGTCTAATAAGGTAGTTTATGTTGTTAACCAATTTATGCATGCCTTGTTAGGCAAATGAGATATTGTCTTCCTTCGATGACCGGCTTAGGCGATATGCTACCAAGCAATTGACAAAGGTGAGTCACATTTTGATGAAAAATCATTTCATTTTGAGCATTAATTTGTATCTTCATTTCACTAGATGACATTAATTCTTGATCATTGTAGTACTGTCTGAAACTGGTTGACTACATAGCTAGTTGTTATACTTTTCAGTATTAGTTTCATTATATTTTGCCAATGTTGTAGTCTCTCTCAGTCAGGAGTTCGTCTTGTTCGTGGCAAAGTGAAAGATGTTAAAGCTCACAAGATTGTCCTTAGTGATGGTTCTGAGGTTCCATACGGGTTGTTGGTATGGTCCACAGGTGTTGGTCCATTGCCTATAATTCAATCTTTGGATCTCCCAAAAGCTCCTGGTGGAAGGTTGGTCCTGTTACTCAATATTGTTGCATTCATTCCCTTTGACAACCTAGGCAAAGTTACAAATTAGAAACTGATTTGGGGGTAGATATAGTTTTTTATGCCGATATAAGGAAAGCTTCTGAATGATTTTGTTTCATAGGATTGGTGTTGATGAGTGGCTTCGTGTTCCTTCGGTACAAGATGTGTTCTCAATAGGTGACTGCAGTGGATTTGTTGAAAGTACTGGAAGACAAACACTTCCTGCATTAGCCCAAGTAAGAGATATTGGGTCCATTGGTTTCTCCTGTACACTCCTTCATTCCTTAAGTTCTTTCTTTCAATTTGTAGTTTTTGTTTTGGGATAATGTCTGATATCATACATTTCATTGGAACTTTGTTTCTTTTATTCTTATTTGTAATGGTTGTTCATCAGTGAAGTAGCGTTGCTTATTTCATCTTTGACCAAAAGCATGTTGTTGGCTATTTGATACGTTGCCATTTGAATTCCACAGGTGGCAGAGAGGCAAGGTAAATATTTAGCAGCTCTGTTAAACAAAATTGGTAAAGAAGGTGCAGGTCATGCAAACAGTCCAAAAGAAATAGAATTTGGGGATCCATTTGTTTACAAACACCTTGGAAGCATGGCAACTATTGGTAGATACAAGGCCCTTGTTGACCTTAGACAGGGCAAGGTAATGTTTATTATTCCTGTGACACTGTTTTTGTTTTTTGTGCTTCAAAACTTAGTGTGTCTCACTTACCAAGCTCTTACAGGAGGCAAAAGGGTTGGCTCTGGCAGGATTTCTTAGTTTTTTTATTTGGCGCTCCGCATATATCACACGTGTTATCAGCTGGAGGAACAGATTCTATGTATTTGTCAACTGGATTACAACTGTTGTATTTGGCCGTGATATAAGCAGACTATGAAGATCTAGAGGTAATCACTTTGAGCATGACTAAGAGTTGTTCCCCAAGGTTTTATGTAAATATATAGGAACTGGCTTGAAGGACAAGGCAATGAAACTAACATCTTGAAACCAATGCAGCTTATTTTGTCCACACATTTTTTTTCTCTCTTGTTGTTTCTTTCCATCAATCAGAAATGTAACCATCCTAAGTATTTTTGTAGATAAACCAAGAAATCAATTTTCATGTTCATGTACTGCTCATGACATGTGTGGTCAAATTAATATCAGTTCAGTTACCTAAATATTCAGATCTCTTTTCTATCAGTAGATTATTGAAATGGAAAAATTGAATTGTCACAATTCATTCTGGCAATTGGTACTAGTCCCTATTGATGCAAATGCCTTATTGAGTTCTTGGTAAGTATTGGAATAATACTTCAAGTATTGACTAAAGCTCTTCACTTACACTTGCACGGACTATTACAGTGATGTACATGATTTTACTTAAACATGACAAGATTTTAAGCATTCAGTGGAAGGAGTGTTTGGATACTAGTTAGAAGAACTTTTAAGAGCTTTTCTAACATAAATATAGAACCTTCTTTAGTAGAAAAGTTTACAGAAGTTCCTTTATTTTGTATCCTAAAGACTATTTATCGTTTTCAATATTGAAAAGAATCAAATCCAGAAACTAACTACTAATATACTTTATTCACATCGTATAACGAAATTTACAGCTGGTTAGAACATTCAACAAACATTATTTAGAGTGTACAAGTAATCGTGCTACATAAGCTCATCACTTTGCATATTCATTATTGTTCTCGACAAATCAAAATAGCTTGAAGAAGGATAACTTTGAAGTTTTCTGACTTCCTAGCCAGTGTTGCATATGGACTCCAATGGCATCCAAATACATGCTACTCCTCCCATGCAAACCGACCACCTTACCGTCTGTTTTGGTTGAAGTGAAATATTTCCCTACTTCGTCACCAAATGGACCATACTGTCCTCGACTAGTATGGAATGTGAGTGACTTTATGATTGTAGGCTGTTCATCAGCAGTGATTGAACCATAATAGCCAGATATGCAAGTCACAACCTCATTTGGGTACTCCAGTTTTATCTAAAATCACAATAGGCATGAGTAAGAATGCAAAGTCTAGCCATTTTTGTGTTGGCAATCATGCATGATCCAACAAAACGAATGATAAGTATGAAACAGAAGGAATGTGGTTATAACATGAGTTTAATATCTAGTATTCTCATATACAAATGTTTATATAAATAATGATAGATATGATTTACTGTAGTTACTTAAAGTTAATAAACTTATTGAACATAGTACTTTATGATTGGAAAACATTGTTATTCTTTTCAGTATATGCATGTACCATTTTACTCTGGAACGAAGTGAGAAAATAAGTATCAATTCATAATCATACCCGATGCATGGTATTTCCTCCATTCCCACCATGCTTTACAGACCATACAGATTGCTTATATCTATCATACTCAATTTGAATTGAGCAAATTCCTACAGGTGCTTTTGTCAAATAAATCTGCTTAATCCCAGAAAATACTCCATCATCCCAAGGTCTACCTCCATCCCCGCCCCATGGTCCTGGCCCACATGGAGCTGGTTCTTTAATCACACAACGGGAAACCTGTGATGTGAAATAGAAAACAGAAGTGAATAAAATATCCTCTTTCTTCAATATGCATGCTAAAAACGTGGTGTATCAAAAGGTAAAATATTAGTTAAAATATTCACTTGGTGCCTTTCATTTTGAAGTTTAGTACCTATACAAGAAATTTGTAAGATTAGTCCTATGTATAAAGTTTGGTCCATATCATTAATAGATAGACTATTTTAACTGCCGCAAAAAAACTCAGTGCTAAATCTTCAAATGGGGACAGGTATAGGAACCAAATGAACCTTAAATACAAATGGTTCAACAAATACCTGCTCAATTGGTGCTGATTTTGCAACAACTGGCCATTGAGAATTGTCTATTTCAGAAATAGTTGGTTCACTTGAGATCATCTCCATGGAAGGAGGTGCTGGCACTGGAACTATTACTTTTCCTTCTATTGCATGCACGCCAAGAGAATCTAGAAATAAGCCACTTCTACCGTGAAAACCAACAACCTTCCCTTCTCTTAGCTTTGTTGTGAAATAAGTTCCATGTTCATCTCCAAATGGACCATAGGACTTTTTGGTGGTGTGAAATGTCAGTGACCTTATAACAGCAGGTCCCATATACATCAGAGATCCAGAGTAGCCAGATACATGTGTTAGGACTTCATATGGAAAATCGAAGATTATCTGCAACATGATTCACAACAAAATGGTACAAAAATGAAATAAAACTATCAATTCCATTGCCTAGTTTATTAGGCAAAAGTAGACTACAAAGGCTTTTTAACTTAGTGTACCTTTTCATGTTTGAATCCTCCTGCCCCTCCATGTTTGTATCCCCATACAGCCTCCCCATCTAGATCATACAAAACTCTGAGCCATACAATCCCAACATTTCGGGACAAGTCAATTTGCCTAACTCCTGTGAAGGGTCCATCATCAAATACATATCCACCAGTACCACCCCATGGCCCGTATGTCACCACACCTTCAACCATTGATGATGTCTTCTGCACAAAAACTACCTGAATTGAATGAAGACTATTAGTTTTATTTGATGCAAATGATGGTTATCTTTGAATCAATGGAAGATGTAAACTAGAGTGGAATGATGCTAGGTTTCACTGTTTGCATTGTGAAATAGGAGTAAAGCAAAAATTGATGGAATGCATTTCATCCCATCCTATCTAATACTCCTATTTTCTCACCCTCCAACTGGGAATCTATGTGATGGATTCATGAATCATTCTGTTTTTCTCTGTTCTATGATAAAAATCTCAAACAATGAAAGAACAAAATTCAGATGCAGTTCTTCGTACTTTTGGTATTGTCTCCCATCAAAATTAGAGTTTCATCATGATAATGCGTAATAAAGATTTGTATTAAAAGTCAACATATAATACCAAGGTTGAACAATAATTTTAATTCCAGAATGGTACTACATTCTATTCTCATTAGTGTTAGTAACACACTCTGTACTATTGGTTCAAATTTACTGAAAACTATAAAATCATGAATGAGATTCATTATGCATATAGCTAAATTAGAGAATAAATTTGAAAGAGAGAATAATGTAACTTTATTACCTTTTCTTTTGGTTCAATATTGGTGGGCTCTTTCAAGCTAGAAATCTTCATGGTTGGAGTTTTTCCAAAATCATCTTTCTGTTTTAAAGCAAGAACAATATCATATCCTTGGCCAACACTTCCCTGTATTACATTATAACTACTATTCTCAGGGGTGTTAGTCATGTAGCTATGTGAATAAGACAAAGCTTTGGAAGGATTTGGTTGCTGAGAGGATTTCAGGTGGACTCCAATGGCGTCGACGTGCCAACCATACCTGCCATGGAACCCAACAATCTTGCCACCAGTCATTGGCAACGAAAAATATGTCCCTTGTTCAACTCCAAAAGGTCCATAATGTTTCTTGTTACTCTCAAAACTCAATGACCGAATGAAGATAGGTCCCCATTGACTTAAGCTACCAAAGTATCCATCAATTGATGTTAGGAACTCATGCGGGTAATCAAGCTTGATCTGGAATACAATCATAACATTCAGTCGATATGATTCGTGAGTTTCCCATGTAGCAACGAAAGAAGCACAAACACTTGATGATTGTAAACACAATGTGTTGTTACACTTTGAATACTCTTAACCATGTTTTACAATTTTTCACTTCTATCTTTTAAAACACTTATACTAACACATGGAGGAAAATTCAATTAATTATAAAATCTGTAACATAGTATTTTGTTTACAATATAAATTCTATTTGTTTCGAAAACATAAATAATTCTTTCTTTACATTTAATATTTGTTGGTTAAGTTAATTTGATAACATATATTATAACCATAGAATTTGTTTTATCCCATTTCCATGTTGTTTCAAATCTATGTCAAGTTTCTTAAGGTTTTAGAAAATAGTTTGGGACTACGATTTCACGACTCTCTGACGTCGATTACAGTCACATCAGTAGTATTTGTTCATGACTTACCGTAACATAAAAAATTTCATTGCAATTGCAACAGCAATTTAAAAACTTAATTTCTGGGTTAAAATCAGCACTTGTATGTTCCAATTTAAAATCTTAATTTCTGGGTTAAAATCAGCACTTGTATGTTCCAATTTAAAACCTTAATTTCTAGGTCACAAGTAGCATACTTTAGTACTTTCAACAAGAACAACTAAGGTCATGGAAAATTTACCTTGTCATTTTTTTGGCCACCACTTCCTCCATACTTGAGTGACCATATAGAACTCCCATTCTTGTCATACTCAATCTGGATGGAGTCAATTCCTTCCCCATGAACTATCACCAATTGCCTAACTGCTGAATACACACCATCATTCCAACGGTATCCTCCACTACCTCCCCATGGTCCAACTGATACAGGTTTCTCCTCAAAACTCTGCACTCAAAACATCATTTGATTCTAAGGTGTTAGAAAAGTAAGGCAAATAAAGAAGTTGAAGAACACATGCTATGGAACCAAAAATCATGATTCATGAATAACAAAAACTGCTTAAAGCATGCAGTACCATCTTCTTGTGCTTGTGAGAAGAGAGACAAATAGAGAAGTTGGATTGATAAAACTGAAGTGCAAGTGTTATGATGGTTAATCTAGGGAAGGCTCATAAGGAAATTATGCAAGCAGAAGGGTGTATTTAGGGAGTGCTTACGGAAAGAAAAAGGTGCATTTGTGCTTGACAGGTGACCATTTAGAAGCAACTAATTGGAATCCACCATGGAGGGGAAGAGTTGAAAGGGAATCAGGTTCTCCGTGTAAATTAGTTTTCATGTTTCCAGACAATGACTCTTTCATTTCATGCATCCATGACTGTCACATTCACATATCAGTGTTTTCCACAAT